AGGTCACACAGAATTAGTGGCAGAATCAAGACCTGTTTTCTGATGCTACTGGATGCTCTACAAGTAACCTTCCTATCCTTCTGTGTCTCAGACCGCAGCTGTGTGCGTTTCAGAGGTTCTGTGATCACACTGCTCTCTTCTCTGAGTGTCTTGTTTTTCTCATCCTCATGTGGTGGTGAAACGTTCTCCACCCACACAGGTGTGAGCCTGTTCGGAGGACAGGCTGGGCACTAGATGGTTGGTGTGAGTGGGTGGGGAGTCGCCCAGCCCAGGAGCCCCATGTGAGTGCTCTGTCCTCCTTGCACTCTTCCGTCAGCTGTGTTCTCTCTGTGGCACTGGGACAGGAACTGGTGTGACAGTCATACAGAGTCACTCACTGTGGTCATCTGTGTGTATGAGGCCCTGCTGTGCACACGGCCCTGTGCCAAGTGCTCTGTCTGTCACCGTGGGCCCACCTAGCCCCTGTCAGGACATGGGCCGTGGCAGTGTGACAAAATAAGACCACAGACGTCACCAGTTGGTGGCACTACTGGTAAGGGGCAGGCCTTGGGGTGGACTCAGGTTCCTGGGAGGCCAGAGCCTGTGCCCCGTCCACTGTGATACCCCGCCTTTCGTGAAAATTCCTGCTAGTGCAGGAGTCCCTGTGCGTTTCTAAACGGAGTCCAGATTGGTGGCGTGGCCCTGACATACTGTTATAGTGTCATTAAAGTGTTGATCCTGGTGGCAGCAGCTCAGAGATGGGACTGAGTTATCCATGTCCAGTATTTCAGGGACTCATGTATTTTTCATTTCATTTTACATTTTGATCCCAAAGTCCAGGGGAAAGTCATTAATTCACAGGAGTAAAGGTTGATAACATTCATCACAATTTGTTTTTTGGACATGCTGTTCTTTTATAGAGCTGCCTCTATGAAATTAGTGATTGTTAAAGATTGAAATACTGAATGAGTTTTTGTGTTAGTCTGCTCAGGCTGTCCTAACAAAATACCATAGACTGGGTGGCTTAAACAACAGAATTTTATTTTCTCCCTGTTCTGGAGACAGGAAGTCCTGGATTAAGGTTCAGCTGGTTCCGCTTCTGGTGAGAACTCTCTCCCTGGCTTCAGTTGGCTGCGTTGTCCTCGAGTGGTCTTTCCTCTGAGCACAGAGAGAGGGAGAAAGCTCGTTGGTGTCCCTTCTCATAAGGACACTAGTCCTATTGGATCAGGGCCCCAGCCTCATGACCTCATTTAACCCTGACTACCTCCTAAAGGCCCATCTCCAGATACAGTCTCACTGAGCATTATGGCTTCAGCATCAGAATTGAGGGGGACACAGTTCAGTCCGTAGCAGTTCTTGATATTTTTCTTGTGTTCAAAAGTCTCATTTCTTAATGAAAAAATATAAGACTTTGACATTATCTGTCATCCATAGAGGATATTTTAAATAACTAAACCTCTTATAATAAATTAAACCTCAATTCTTATTACAAGATTGAGATATTTTATGTGTTATCCTTCCATTTAAAAGGTGGCATGATCTGTACCTGGAGGTAGTCCTCACACCCCCGGCACACTCGCAGAGAGGTGGGAGGGTGCTTGCTGTTGCCCTGTTGTCCACCATAACGTTTAAAGAGGACAGTGGGGTAAAGACGGCTCTGCAGTCAGGTCTCCACTTCCAGGTAGAAAATAGAAGTGGAACTGAAGAGTTTGATGGATAGAGAAATATTCTTCCTTTAAAGGATCATTTGGGGTAAAACTAATTATTGTAATAATGTCTAGCCCTGTTGTGATTTTTAGTACAACTTTAAGAACTACCTTTAATTTCTGAATTGAATGATGATGATGACAAAGATGGCAGTAATAGCTAATATTTATTGAATGTTTACCAAGTGCAGACAACTACTCTATGTTAAGTGTAATTATTCCTTTAATCCTCACAGTAAATCAGTGAGGAAGGTCCTATGTTTATGCACGATTTACCCTGAAGAAGTGAGGCACAGAGAGGTTAAGTAACTTGCCCAAGACCACACAGTTACGGGTGAATGAATCAGGAATAATTATTAAGGCCCTTGGATATGTTCAAGTTGTGAAAGGCACTATACAGAGTGCAAAAAAAAAAATTTTTGCTACACAGAAATCAGATTATAGGACATGCTAAGGTGTGTGGCAGATGTCATAAGAACAGCACGAGCCACCGAAGACACACAGCGTCTGCAGGAGACCTTGAAGGCAGTGTCCCTCCAGTTGGTGTGAGGGGACCACTTGTCTTAGATTCACCTGGGTTTTTCTTTAATGCAGATTACTGGGCTCCATCCTAGACTTAGTAAATCTGAACATGAGGGTTGGAGCAAAGGAATATGCTTTTTAAGTAGTAAACTCTCCCCCCCCACTTCCAAAGGTGGTTCTGAAATACATATAATTATGAGGCTACTGCCTGAAAGGATGGATCAATTTGGATGAAACATGATGGCAGCTTTCCCACAGGGCGACACCAGGAGCCAAGATCGGGGGGGCGTGGTTTGTTAGGTGGCATAAGGAGACAGGTCTACCGGGAGAGTGATGAGCAGAGCAGAGTAAGGCCAAATAAGGCTGTCAAGGCCAAGTTTAGGTAGGACTCCGGAAACGAGGAGAATTTAAATTTAATGAGGAAGTAGCCACAAATATTCATGAGCAAGAAAGTAGCCTGATGAAAAAATTAAGGAAAATTAATTTGCAAATTAATTAACTCTTATTTTACAAATTTTACCGTAACAGTTTTTTAGAATATTTTCTTACTCTCTCATAAACGTCTTTATTTCTTATTTTGTCTTTCTGGTTCTGGATCTCTTACAGGAAAGGAATATATTATGTTCATAAATGTCCTCAAAGAATCTGAAGTTTTCCTCAAAAGGGCTGTAAAAGTCAGAGACTACATAGTTTGAAAGCCAAGAGTTAAGAAATAGATGTATCATACTGCAGATCCACAGGTTTCATGGAACAAATCTGTTTCTTTTTTCTGCCTGTGACCCTCATCCCTTGTTGGTGGGCGGTTAGATTGGGGTGACCTCCACAGAAGATAGTGTGACAGTATCTATCAAAATTTTTAATGTATATTCCCTTTGATTCAGTAATTCTACTTCTATGTAGAAATGCTCACACATTTACACAGAGGTTTACGATAGTACAGTGATGTCATTCAAGGTCTGAATTGATAAAATAGCGGAAACAATTTAGATAATCTATCAATAAGTATCTGGTTATATAAAATAAGGTATGAGACATAGAATATTATGTGGCCATGAAAAAGATTGCAAGATTCATAGTTCATGTGTTAATATGGAAAGATCTCTAAGATATATTTTCAATGAAAAAAGCAAGATGCAGAACAGTAGGTTTACTGTGCTACAGGATGCATGCTCTACATTTGTGGAGAGGTGGAGCTGGACGACACTGAGAGGTTCTAATGTTAGAGGAAGACCTTCGCTTCAACCTTTTAATATTTTGTACTGTTTAAACTTCGACAAACTCTATCACTATAATTCAACCTTTCTGAGTGAATTAAACTGTGTAGCGTCATTAAAAGCCTGCCAGTAAGGTATTCTCAGGTGGAAAATCCAGAAGGCATTACATGCATGCATGCGTGTGCTCACTGTAAGTACATCTTAGGAAAGGGTTAGAATTATGTTCTTTGTCTGTTACTTTTAGCCTGTGTTCTCATAGTGTTTTTATTCAGTCATTCAGTAAATATTTATTGAGCATTTTTCTTAAAGTAAATTTCTAACTTGGGCCTGGGAAGTTCTTTAGAACCATAGGCTTTTAAAATTGGAAGGAACCTTGAAGATCGATTTCCTCACGTTTTAGGCAAGAGAAAACTGAAATCCAAAGGGACATGTCCGAGGTCGCACCCCCATTAGCAGTAGAGCCTCAGGGAAAACCTAGACCCTTGTGTGCTGGTCCCCTGTTCTCTCTGTGCCACCCTGGGTGACGTCAGAGGACAGACTCACGTGGGTTTGTCCTCATCCTTCTCCTTCAACAAAAGTAAAGTCAATTCAGGTCCTTTTCAGTAGATTTGTCTCCTCAAACGAGCAGCTCTGGAAAGATTTAGTGGTAGCAAAAATGCAGACTCTTTAATATTAAACATTTAGAGGAAACGGAAATGTTCTGAATTTCTATTTTTTCTATTAGAAAGTAACATTTTAATTTATATGCCACCAAGTGTCCACGAGGTTTATGCTCTAAATTTCATTCACACACTTTTACCTACAGTATTAATAACTGGTATTAAAGTTGTGTTTAGTAAGCAGGGCTGAAGGAAGCATCATATTAAAAAAACTGGTTTTGTGGGATGTATGTCCCCTAAACTGAGGAAAGAACATCTGTATGTAAAGAAGAAAAGAATTCCATCACTGCATGATATTTTTCAATTGCGTATTTTCACTCAGCTTTTGATGGTAAGTCTTTCATAACTACACTGAGCTCTTCGGACACAAGATCGCCCCCGTATTTGGTCCCTCCCGTTGCTTTACAACTCTGTGTGACACACCTGTGAGGCATTTACCATGTCCCTTATCAACCATCAATCTTGGGGATTTTCTCCCAAATCCTTAATGCTTTCAGAGAGCCAATGCAATGCTGAAACAAATGTAGTCGCAGACGTTCCATCTGGAGGATATCACATTTTTTAAAAAGAGAGACAGATGGTCTGTTGGTTTTGAGGACATTATATCAATATCAGAACGGAGACCAGAGCCCGTAATGTGTGCGTTACTCTGGAGTCATGATGGACCCCACTAGAGGGCTGTACGGGTTCCCAAAGAGCAGAATTCAGTGCCCCTTCTTCCTCCTCATTGTGAGCATGTTACATTAGGCCGAAAGTTAACAGCAGTACTTTTTTCCTGACAAGTGAGGAAAGCAAAGGCTGTGCCTGGTTAATACAAAACCAGAGGACTCGTAGTTGTTCGATGCGGGCATTTACACGGCCCTCACCGTTCCAGTTTTAAACCTGCCTGTGTTTGAACCCCCTCCTCTTTCTTCCTGAAGCTGCGAGGGAAATCGTCTGGTTGGAAAGAGAAGAGCGAGCCCGGCAGCACTATGAGAAGCACCTGGAGGAGCGGAAGAAGAAGTTGGAGGAGCAGAGGCTGAAGGAGGAGCGGAGGAGGGCCGCGGTGGAGGAGAAGCGGAGGCAGAGGCTGGAGGAGGACAAGGTGAGAGGCGGCCGCCGCTTGGGGAGGGGAGGCTCGCCCGCGTCAGAGACGCAGCAGACTCCCTGGGAACTGGCTGAGAAGGTGCCGGGATGCCGAGCAAAACCATCAGAGGACGCGGCTTCACAACAGCCCCCGTGTCTGGGCTGGTTGGGTGTGGAAGTCAGGCAGAGAACGGTGTCACTGTTGTTGCCGTTGCCACAGTGCCTGTAGAAGCCCGTTTCTGTGGTCTAGATCTGTAACTCTCTGTGGAAGTATCAGGACCACGCCAAGTAGTTGGGTTTCTGTAGGACTTCACCATTGACAAACATGTTCACATAGATTCTCTCATTTAACCCTGACTCAGCACTTGAGTAAGTGTTATATATCAATTTTTGCAAACCTGGACATTTAGACTCAGCGTGGGTCAGTTACACAGGTCACACAGCTCACTAAGTCATGGGGTCGGGATTACCCACGTCCTCAGATTCTAAATTCCACTTTTTAGATGTGGTACCACATGTATTGAGCATGTTTATGCTAAGACCTGCACTGCCACGCTTAGGGAGCTGATGAAAGGATCGCAGTCCAGCAGTAAATAATAAATGCAAAAGGCTGTATCAACGGGGACCTAACAGTTGCAGTGACCCTCCCAGGTTGATGTTGTTCTCACCTAAGATAAGGTGTAGACGTTCAGGGAGACATGTAAGTCGTACCTCTCGCTGCACGCCGCCCAAGGTGAAGAAGCCTCCGGCAGCCAGGCCGACTCTAATCACTCAGCTCCTCCCTTCTGTTTAAGGAACGCCATGAAGCTGTGGTCCGGCGCACGATGGAGAGGAGCCAGAAGCCAAGACAGAAGCATAACCGGTGGTCGTGGGGAGGCCCCCTCCACGGGAGCCCCCGAGCCCGCAGCGCGGGTAAGCAGACAGTGACTGCTTTCAGATCACGCTTCTTTCCTGGACAGTGCAAGTGGCTCCTTTTTTCGAAGTCTGTGTTTGCAAAACAAAAATCTTGCTGAAATAATTAAACTACAATCACAGATACTTCTAGTGTTTGAGGATAAGAGGGTGATGGAGGTAAGCAGATAGGTTCTCTCCCTTAACAGGGCTGCTTTTCTCATTTGTTACAAAGTTCCTTGAAGAGAGAGAAATCTATGCAATGTTTCCAAATAAACATGCTAGTTTCAACTCTGCATTATTTTAAGTAATTCATTTGCATAAGAGTTTCAGGATTATGGAATAGGTTGACCAGTTTTATCTTTTTCTCTGGAAGAATCATAGTACTATTGACAGATCAAAATCAATGCTATGAGCTTATATTCTGACCCTAAAGTGTACGCAGCACTAATGCTCTGCGAGAAGCAGTGCAGTTGCTGAACGAGAATGGTAGGTGTCGAAGCTACTCTCGTGTTCCTGACGGGACATAATCATGCTGCAGTTAGGACTGAGGGAAAGGCTTCCTTTTTGTCCTGTGCATTCAGTACACCTTGAGTTTTAGACACCGTGTCAGTTCTTCAGTTCTTTTTTATTTGTGTGAGTCTAATAAAATTTTTTTTTTTTTTAGTTTACTTTAAAAAATCGTTGTCTTACGTTCTGTCCCCAGGTGGTTTTGTTGAGTCATCATTCACCTTTCTCGATTTAGCAGGCCTGGACCACCACGTCACTGCTTTCGGTGGTACTAGAAAATCGGGTACTGATGTCCCTGTGGTTGCCGACTGCCGCCCTGTAGCTAGACCCCAGGCTAGGGCCAGCGCGTGGTAGCCGAGCCATCACCATAGTCACCGCATGCTTCACGTCCCATTGCATAGACCTAGATCTGGAGGGCACAGTGTTTCTTAAGTGGGATAATAAAACTCAGGTGACTTAAAGGTGTTGAAGTAAAGCAATTTCATGTAGTATGTTTACTTTCTCTTGAAATTATCATTTTGGATAAAACCTTAAAACAATATTTTTTAGTTAAATTATCTGGGATCCAAGCTTATCCAGTTTGGCTTTATGTCCCCCCATCAGCACTGCTGTTGCCACTTTTAGCTTTACTCTAAATGTGGGTTTCTGTTCGTTTGCTCTGTTCTCTTTCCTTCCCAACATTGAGTGTATCTTCTGTAACTCCTTTGTTTTAAAAACTCTAAAAGCAGATTACCACAGTGTACTATGACAGTGAACCGACTGAAAAGCACTTTTTTTCCTTGGCTCTTCACGACCCAGTGGTTTGTGGTGGGGCCCAAGTCAAATCTGTGATCGTAAAGATCATTCACGAGTGAGATTTCATCCTTGGGATAGTTCTCCATATCTGTGCCATGCAGAAAAGCTGTCCTGGTATATATTTTTATAACCTTATTTATTTTTTACTTGGCTTCTTGTTTTTCACGTGTGCCCAAGTATACTCTGTTACAGATTTTCAAACGATTTTGAGGGGAAATCAGATGGCTTGGCTTTAATCCTTGCTTCCACACCCCCAGTTGACTGTTTGACCTTTCTTTCTGCCAACCAGAGCAAGAGAGACCAGTGCTGTGATTGTGAGCTGTTGGATAAATCTGTTTTTATAAGGGCTGAGAATTAGAGAAAATTGCTGCTATACCAGAACAGAGAAGTTAGAAAATAATGGGATTTGCTAAAAGGCTCAAAGGTCAAGATGATCTGCTGTGACCTTGAGAGGGGAGACCAGGTCTCACTCGTTTTGATGCCCCTGACTTCACACAGCGCCGGACTCATGATGGGCACTGAGTCAGCGTCTGCTGGCCAGCAGACGATCCTAGAATTAGACTTAGTCCAGATTATGTCAGTGCTGTCTACTTGCACACCACCTAGCACTGGTCTGTAAAACTTCATACCATTTTAACTGATTCTTCATAAATCCTTTTGCGAATTTGTGTTTTATTCTGTGAGAAAAAGACAGGATTGAAAATTATTATATTCAGTAATATAATAAATACCTATTATACCTTCATAATTTTAACCCTTCGGGGTAGGCCTGCATGTAGACAGATGTCCCCCAACTAAGGCGTGTCATAGGAAGCAATATCAGAAAATGTACTGCTGTGAAGTCACCTGGAAGTGACTGTCATTGTGCCCTGAACCTTACGTTTCATCGCTAGGGTATTCCTTTTGATAGTTTGACCTAAATCTTTTCTTACGTTAGGATTGCCCTAAGAGCCCATCAGTTAAGTGTAAATTTGAGTCACGGAATGACGTTTGGTTTTTTTTATTAAATTGCTTCGACCACACAGGTGAGTCTCAGAAGGTGGGGGTGTCTCATGTTGGGGGAGACTTGTTCATCCCCATGCACTGTAAAAATGGCCCAAAATGGTTATTCCATGGCGGAAGTTTACTGTACAGTTTTTACTACCAAGGTTAGGTCAGACCAGAGGGAGCTGGATTTTGAAGGCATCTCCCACAAGGAATATTTTGGGTTGTTTTTAGTTTTAGAAGCAGCTTAACAATAGAAAATAAAACAAAATACAGCAAAGTGCCTTTAACCTTGGCTCTTATAGGTCAGAATGTCTACCTGCCTCCTAGATAGGTATAATAATGAGACTTCAGACTTAATGATATGCAGTTATTTTCAGGGAATGAGATTTGTGCTAATGAGCATGGTTACAGCTTGGTTCCATGTACGGACAGCAAAGTAACAGCTGACTTGTGCCTTTTATATGGCTGTTATTTCTCTTCTGACTTGAACTCTTCTGACGTGAAGAATGATGCTAAAATTACTCAACTGCAGGATGAACAGTCATATTATTCATAAATGTAAAGAGAGAGAATTCTGATTTTCTTTGTATTGCCATCAGTTTGTTGGCACATCTGTGGGCTGATTCTACGTTTGTAAACTACACTAGACTCTGTGTTATAGGCACAGAGGTGTGCTTATTAAAAGACTTCTAAAAAAAAAAATGCTATGGTGGCCATCCTTTCCACACCTGCAGAGTTTCTTTTTCTTTCTTTCTTTTTAGTCTGTTTTAATAGTGAACTTGAATGCCAGGTGAAATGACCCTGTAAGCCAGGGTATCAGCAGGTGCACAGACCTCTCGTTCTTTTTGTGCAAGGGTTTGCATTCTGTTTTACCAGCACTGTTACTGCCCGGAGTTCGACTCGGGACATGAGGAAGCCTTCGCCTGTGTGGTCCTCCTCTGCTCCACAGTCTGCCTCCATTCTTTTAGTTGCCCTCCGTTGCCATCCTTTGCTCCTCAACCATTTGTTGTGTGTTATAATGATATGCTTGAATTTCCCTGGCTGACAAACTGGTGAGCTCAATTTTATTTTATCATGTAAGAAAAATGAATTTTATTTCTAGCCTTTAAGTTACCTTTAAAATATCCACTTAGAAAACTGTGCTGTTACAGAAGATCTAGTAATAGAGCTGAAAGCATCCAGTCTTAGTTTTTCCTTCCATCAGTGAGCTGCGAGATTGCAATCCTGCATGCTGGCTGTCAATTAGCGTTATCTCCGTTTGTTTTAGATCCAGACAGGCGATCAGTTTCCACCATGAATCTTTCGAAACATGTCGATCCCGTCATTAGCAAGCGGCTCTCCTCTTCATCTGCAACTTTGCTAAATTCTCCAGATAGAGGTACAGTCAAAGGAAAACAAAGTGTTCTATTATTTACTTAATGCTTTTTTTTTCTGGATGTTTACAGATAAAAATAAGCATCTGAAGTTGCTTTCCCTACGTTTCTTAAATAGGAAGAAAAAAACTTCAGAGTAAAAAAGCAATAAACGGCTGAGCAGCATTTTCCTTGCGACGAGAACGTTTCTCATTTTAGACCTTGGCTGAGTGATTGCGTTTAGCAGTGATGAAAGCTTCTCCCAACTTTTAGTAATGAGTTCACAGCTCCAGAATCACCCGCTTATCCACCAACATGCAAATAATCTTTGTCGTGAACATCTGTTTTACTTCAATCATACTGTCTGACTTTCCATCCGTACTTTGGGAATTCCAGGCTTCAACCTTCTAAAACCTTTTAAAATGATTCGTGTTGGTAGATTTCATTTTGCTAATTTACTTCTCATTTAACCAAACCTTTCTAACTGCATTTCTTGTGTGTGTGATTGCTTTTTGGTGTCCGTTCATTTACTCTTAAGGGATTTGGCCTAACTTCAAGGATAGCATCATTTAAGCCTCCTAAAAATTTTAATGATCACAGTTCTCCAATTAATGTTGTATTTGAATTTTGAGTTTTATTCATCCTGTGGATTTACAGTACATGAATGTTGAGTTATTTATAAAGTGAAAGTTTTGTTTTACATATTTATATATCATAGAAGGAAAAATCAAGCTTTTAAGATAAGCTACTTGTTTTTAGATAACGGAAATGATTTTAAATTAAAAAAACCAAAGAATGGGCCGGCCCCATGGCTTAGCTGTTAAGTGCGCGCGCTCCGCTGCTGGCGGCCCGGGTTCGGATCCCGGGCGCGCACCGACACACCGCTTCTCCGACCATGCTGAGGCCGCGTCCCACATACAGCAACTAGAGGGATGTGCAACTATGACGTACAACTATCTACTGGGGCTTTGGGGGGGCAATAAAATTAAAAAAAAAAAGTAAAAAAAAAAACAAAACAAAGAATTATGTGTAATATAAAAACACATACTCTTTAAAAGTAACAAATTGTGGTTACTCTGAGTGCTTTATTAAGAAACTGATTGGGAAAGGTCAGTGTTTATAGTCTTTAAAAAGAATGTAATGTGTGCATGTTCTGATGTGTGTATGTGTATTTGTGTATTTTGTATAAAAGTTATGGTGTTATTGTGATGTATAGTATTACATGTTGATGTTATTTTATAACAGATCTCTTAAAGCAGTAAATGTTTGAACAACTTTCTATTCTTGCCTTTAACCTAAATCATTCCTTTTTTTTTTTAACCTAATTTGCCTAAATCATCGATATTAGACCTGTAGTCAAATTAGGGGCCTTTTACATGTTAGAGAAAAGAATTATGAATTAAAATTCCTTTCATAGCCTTTGTTTTCAAGCCCATTCCCTTAATATAATGTACAATGTAGCGTGTGAATTATGTTCTTACACTTGTCTGGTCATCTTTTCTTTGGAATTGGTCACTTAACACTTTAGTTTCACACTTTTGTGAACCTGGGTCTAAGACAAACTACAGTTGGGATTTTACAGCACTTTCAAGTTAAACCTTGCTTACTGCCTCCTACAGTCCTGTAGCTGAAACTGGGGAAGACTGGGAGTGGGGAGATGGGCCATAAACCAGACAATCCACGCTCCTGTGGAAGGACAGTGCTGTGTCAGCAGAAACAAGATGTCTTATAGCTTCTGCGTGATGGCATCTGATAGGATATGCTTAAGTAATAGGATCTTAGAACTGGGAAAAATTTGTTGGATGGCTCATCTACTCCAGTTGGGCTAATAGAGTCCCTAAGAGGTGAAGGACCTGACTTAATATCCTATAGGCTGATTTGGAGAAGACAGCCTAGAACAGAGACTCCTAGCTCCTAACCCATGTTGTTGCTACACCACATCCTCCATTCTCACCTTTGTGGATGTGGACGTCCTTCCTTAGATCAACCCTTACTCCGTGCATTCTTCCTTTGGGTGAGGTTAAGGGTCAAGGGAAGTTCAATAACAGGTTCATAGCTGGGGCCGGGAAACTGCCCCTTGAACCATGGTGCAGGCCTAGAAAACCCAATACGAAGCTGGACTATAGGACAGGAGGGAGAGCACTAAATTTGGGAGTTCTGCTTCTCTGCCCGCTTATCAAAAGAACTGTGAACCACTTCCTGGGTCTAACGGGCAAGGTCAGCCTGGAAGGAAGATTTGGTTCCTCCAGGGGCTCCCATGTGGTCCAAGAAGCAATTTTTTTAAGTCAGGCAAAACCGTCAGTAGGACAGTGAGAGGGCTGGGCTGTTAATGAGAATAGACATTCTTCTGAATTTGAACTTCTCTAATTTAGAAACTTAAGTAGTTTAGTTAGTTTATTTTCTTTTCTGCTATTTAAGTTAGTTATGCTTTATAACCAAATTGGAAAGCATTCTTATCAAATTATTAAATTAGAGGCTTTTACAGACTAATCAGAGAGTATACACCAGTACTAGATTGTCTGAGCTTTCTCAGCCCTCAACACAGGCCTTAAAGCTGGTATTAAGTTGAGGCTCTGATACTGTCAATGTCTACAGTCGGCTGGGATGCTTACTGGTTATTACAAATACTGAAACATTTCCATCCCAGTTGGTAAATATCCACCTCCCCGAGCTGTGCTTCCCTGGCCTCCAGAGCCACTGAGTGGCCTCCATTAGCTTTGTGCCTGTGCCCTACTGGTTTTTAAATATTCTGATGATCACACCTGAATATAGTGTCACATTGACTGATGAAATGACCTCAGTTAGAGGAAACCTCTGATTACCAAAGGTTTCTATAACCGTTGCAATAGAGAGAATATTGCCGCTGGAAATTTTTGCATTTAGAACGTGTTTCTTATTATCTTAAGCTACCTGCCTAACCAGCTCTTTTCTCAAGGAAGAAGAATAGGGAGTTTGAAAAAAGTAAGAATGAATTTGCCTACTCTTTGCTTAAAATTGGCCCCTCCATTTTTTCCTGGAATCTAGACCAGAGGACATAGTGGTAGAGACCTCAAGCTGAATTCTGCCCACATGTTCTGTTTGACTTGAGCACAGTTTTTGTTCTTGTTTTAATTTGAATTAATTGCTGACATTTAAAAAAATGGAAGATTCATTATTATAACATTTGGGTTTCCTACTTCTAATGAAAAATGAGGATCTGGCAACACTTGCCTGATGTCTGCGTGGCACCCATCATCTGGAACTGAAATAGCGGCTTCCTGCTCATGGAGAAGCGCGGTAGTACAGACACCTGTGGTGTGTGTTTGCCTCCTCCGGTCCAGACGATCTGTTATGGGAATTGTCAGTATCTCATTTTTAAGTACTTAGATCAATACTACAGAGTTGTTTCATGAGAATTATCATCTCTTCCTTCAGGAGCTTATCATCTTAAAATCAGGCCCCTGTAGGTAAAAAATTAATAATAATAACTAATTCTCCTGTGCTAACCTTTACTAAAAGGCTGTCTTATGGGAGAGATCTTGCTCAGGCCATAGTTATGAATGTGGTAAAAATAGAAATATGTTTCTCCTAGCAGAATCCTTCACAGTGTCTGAGCTATAAAACAAATCTCTTTGGATTTGCTTTAAACACAAGTCAAAGAGGGCTTTTAATGATCTTCATTTGAGGCAAATTCTTTGGTTGATTCCTTAAAAAGACTCTCAAAAATAAAGTAATTGAACTTCTTAATTGAGGGGTAAAAAGACATTGTTTTCAATGATAAACCATCTCTTCAGTTCTAAGCTAGTCATCCTTCAGAGTTTATCTAAGAAAAGGAAGCATTCATCTCTTCTTCCCTTTCTCACCTACAGAAATTATAGTTCTGTGGAAGATTTTCAGTTAATCCTAATCACTTTTCTCCAGTGATTTTATTCTGTGAATGTATTCTAATTTTAGGTTATGTTATACTCCGTTGTTCATACACACATGCACACTCTCTCTCTCTCTCTGCCATCCCATAGTTTATAGTAACTCATTGTGCATTCTATGGTTTGTGTGACTATTATAATAGTTTTATAACAAATCTTTTTATTAATGTCTTAATGTCAGATAAGATTTGATTTAACCGTGAAGACTCTCCTAATAAACAGAAAATCTAATGAACAATTCACTAATTCTTAAATTTACCAGAGCCTTGATCAAAATAGTCACTCTTTTAAAAAAGTCAGATAATTAAGGTACTCATTGGAGATTGGCACTTCCTTCCAAATAGTACGAGCAAATATTTTCTGTAACAACATTAAACATTAAGTGGCTTCTGTTAGCTAAAACTGATTTCCTAGAATTTAAATGTCATGCCTTTAGAACACGACATATAAAAGACTGTTGTAAGAATGGCTGCTCCTGAAGCAGAGGAACTTGCATCTGCTGTTGATGGTGCAGAACAGAAGTGGCCTTGCCAGGTTTAGACAATTGTAAAGACTTTTATAAGTGACTCGTAAGTGTCTAAAATAGAGATGGTATATGGTCACTTTACTTTAGTGATATTTGTAGGATTTCGCTTCTTTCCTGGTATTTTTGGAGAGTAGCTTCTGTGTTTTCGTGGGCCATCACTGGAAGCTAACAGTAAAGGCGAAGTAATTTATAATTGGCATGCATTTCCTAACAGTAGTCTTGGCAAGCCCCAGTATAAATTGGGCCCATACTTCACTGCATTACTTTAAATTCATTTTCTAGATTGTTCACACACCCACTAGTAATCTCCAATATTATGTTTATACTGGATTTTGGCTTTTCTGCTTAATTTTATCTTGCTTAGCTTTACCCTTCTCCTGCACCAAAATTTTTATTTTGTTGCCAAACAGGGAAAGAGCCTGGCTTGCTGAGTGGAAAAATCAAAAGGAAATCCATACAGAACGTTGCATGAGTCCTCTTTCATTTTATTGTATCTAACTTCGCCCAGTTGCCCAAGTAGCAATTCAGGGAGATCTAGCAAAATTTAATGGAGACCCTTTATGAGTAAACATAGATATACATCCAGTCTTGCACTGACCTGCCCAAGCCTCCATTGGAGTTGATTATTGGGGGCATGTAGGCCCCCTGGCTGAGGCGTGTGCCCTCAGTCCACTGCCCGTGCAGTGGGCAGACGGTATGACTGGACCCAGCGATATGTCCCACCCTGTAGTGAAATGGTGTTTCTGTTTTGTTACCTGTTGACTCCTAGAAGAGGGCGGTTAGCAAAATCTGCGCCCATAAAACTAATATAGAGCCTGCCACAGCCTAAACATCTTGAAGAAAGTTCCCGTTATGGAACAGCTGCTCCTCTAGGCGGGCTCGTGTTGCCCTGACTCTCACCAGCTGTCCTCCCTGGAGACTGGAGAGCCTGGTCTCTCCCGAAGGCCTGGCCTGTGGAGGCCGTAGGTGGGATGTTCTACGCCCTCTTGCACCTGGAGAGAACGCTTCTAACATCTTGCTTATGTGGTGACGTTTAGCTCGCCGCCTGCAGCTCAGCCCGTGGGAGAGCAGCGTTGTTAACAGACTGCTGACGCCCACCCATTCGTTCCTGGCCAGAAGCAAAAGCACAGCTGCCTTGTCTGGAGATACAGGTAAAACTGCCAAGGTGCAACTTCCCGGGGAGGTAAAGCCCTCCTTGGGAGCATATCTGAGCCGCCCGTGTCATCTGTCACGTCTCCGTTTTTCCCCACTGTGTGCTCCTCTCTTCTCTGGGCAGTAAGACTTTGGAGTGTGTGGTCGGTGTGGGTTTCACGCCCCTGGCATTGCTCCCTCTTAGCATCTTAGCGTCTTATCTGGACCCCAGATGCGGGCAGACAAAGGATGTCCCTCCCTGTGATCAGGTGGCTTCAGATGCTTCTATCTATTCCTCACAGTACCAGAAAGACCTATCCCTTACCTACCTTTCTTTCTGCACCTACATCTGAGCAGATAATCAAAGGTAGAAATAATTTAATGTTTAATACCAACGTGTAGACTTGGGAATGAAATCAAAGCAGGAGCCTGTTTAAGCCTAGGGTTTCATAATATGGCTGCAAGCTGGCTACTTATCTGCCCGGTGCCAGCCTTTTATATGTAATCGAGGAATAAATAGTACCCTTCCAAAACTCTGCGAGTGGTGTGAAGGCTAATTATAGTGTTCCTATTTGTTACATACTTTGAAAATATGTAAAATCTGCCAAGTACTGGTTATTATAATTAGTTGTAACTCCTCTACTTTTTTGAAATGCAAAACATGCCTGAATGAGCCAATTAATTTAATGAGAAGTTAGTGGGGAGCCTTTATCTAGCTGGAAAGAAAGATGCACATTAGGCTTTTGGCAATCTCTCTCTCACGGTGAGTTGATTTGGAATTTCCCAGACATCTTTGGGCACAGTTGGCATGGCTGTGACCAGGCTACCCGCCCTCACCTTTGGTGCTTAGGAAATCGCATAGCCTCTCCATAAAGTTTCCCTTAAAAGTGCTTTGCTTCTGCAAGCCTCTTCATGTTCAGTAGCCTTCTTGACAAATAATCGTTCTTGGTGGTTTTATGATGTCTTTCATCTGTGGTGCGTGATGAGCTAACATCACCCCTAATTCTCACAGCACCTCTGGGAGGCCGTCAAGGAAGCAGTGAGGCGTCCCCACCTCCTGCCATGGAAACTAGCTGCTGTGACAATTACTGGCTCACACCAGAGCCACTTAGAAAATGGGTGGATGGATCTTAAATGTGCTTTTTCACCCCTCCGTCCTTGGCACCCTAGTGGTGCTCTGGGTACAGTGGTGCCTTCAACTAGCTGGACCTCAGTGTTCTGTGTGTTCTCTAAAGTACCTCTCCTGTCAGCTGTCACATCGCATCTGAGATTTTTCTGGAGGAAAAAGTACAGCTTATTTCGAGATAGCTTATTTTTTAAGCCTGCGAATGTCATACTTTTATACAAGTCGTTGAAGTTTTTCTTGATGTCCAGCTAATTGAAGAACCTTTAAAACTGCGTTTCAGTCCTATATCACAGGACTAAATAGTTTCTGGATACCATGCTTCTGAATCTCCACATTGTGTGTGGTTCCGTCCTCAAGGACGGCCTCACGGCTGAACACGGTCTTTCTTTGCTGTTCCTGTTGTCACTAACTCTTGTCCTCCTCTCACACTCCCTGTAGTCTTCTCCAGCACCGTCTCCATTTTCTGCCCTTTCTCCTGGCCCATCTTCCCTCGTCCTTCACTGTTGTGGTCAACGAAGGTGCTTTTTATCTGCTGCCTGGCTGTTCTTGACTTTGCAACTTTTCCATCCTCCTTTCCATGGATCGGCACATCTCTCTGTTGATGTGAGCGTGAGGCAGTGCACAGTCTTTCCGGGAGTTGCCCATTTTATTACTGCCTTCCTTAGGGCATTGCTTTGATGCAGCTTATGTTTAATGAACCAAAACTGCTGTGTTTTAAAAATCTCCATTTGCAATTGTATATGTAAACATCTCTTACATTTATCCCGTCAAAAACACTTTCCATCGCTTTCATTTTTCCACCTGCTCTCCTTGATTATTCTTTCTTATCTTCCCACATTAGTGTTGTCCCTCGAGTGCATTTTATGTGCAAGTGCCATTGGCAAGAGGATGACGTAGTCCAGAGCCAGGGTGACAGTCACAGGTCAGAGCAGCCGTCCTCACCCCTAGGATGTTTGGTAACTGCAGACTCCCCAAACAAGCAAAAAGAGCCATTGAAAATTGGAAATCAGTGTCAGCCTCTCATTGTGGCCCCCGCTTTGGGTTGACTTTTCCATGCCCGCTTATCAAAATACATTTACAATACATGTGGATATTAGAGCTTAGGATCAAATGAGTTAATACATGTAAAATGCTTAGACTACTACCTGCACGTAGAGGCACTCAATAAATGTTATTAATGTTATTATTATTCTACTGTGTAATTTTTCTGTTCTTTGTGCTACGCTCCAGCCACTTGAACTGCATTTTCTTTCTCTGCACCCATTATTTCATGTAGAAAATCTTGAATGAGTTAAATTAATGCACACTGGCTACCAAAAGTAGAAGGGAATACAGATATTGTGGAAGACTTTCTCAAAGACATTCCGAAAGAGAATTTCCACGTTCAACACGACGACTTTGGGATATGGAGGGCGCTCTGAGGAGAGGAATACATGTGTATATTGCTCTCACCGCTGCTTCAGAAGAGCAAGATCATTAGAATAACTGATTTAAAGATTTCAGGTGTTTCAGTAGTTGCTGTTCAGAGCAACAGTAAGTTCCATGAAATGTAATACCCTTAGAAGGAATTTACAGTGTTTATTTTAGCCAGACGATGTTTCTTGACCAATTAAACTTGAGGATTTTTGTATAGACTACACTAGACAGGTTAGGGAGCTTTTCCTCCTGTGCTTGACATCACCTTGCACTATAATAGAGAAGGGGCCAGAGCATGACGACATTGGCTTACATCCAGGGTGGTCAGGAAGTGATCCATAGAGAACTCCTGAGATTATTGTTTTCCACTAGAGGAAACAGAAATCACATTTCTGTGCTTCATTCCTTTTCCAGTGTCAGACCCATGGATCGGAGCTGGGCTCTTGTCTAGGGTTTCCTGATCCGTGAGCAAGGTGACGGCTCCTGGCTGTGCCTGGGCCTCGGGTGCCTCTCCTGGCTCTTGGTCCTACAGCAGTGCCTGTGCCCGGATGTGATTCTTTAAATGCGTTTGATGGGCTTGGAGAGTTGCGTTAGTGAGCTCTTTCCTCGTCTGGGGAATGCAAACGCTTTGTGTGGCACTTGAGCAAAGGTTATTTTCAAGTCTTTTCCCCTGTGGTCACAACAAGCCACACAGCAGGAGGTCCTCCTTCCTCACAGGGTCAGGGTCTGAAGTGAAGCTTTGTGTCCATTCGCAAGTAAGACAGATTCTTTTCAGGAGGACTGAGGAATGCAAAGTTAGTTTATCCTGAAGAAAGAGAGTGCTGTTTTCAGATGGAAAAGAAAATGCCGTTTCCAGTGTCTTCACTACCTTGGCCGTTGAGTGATAACCGGAGGGTACTGCGGGGCATCTGATGACAGAGAACACACGAATGAAGATGCAGTCTGAACGACCTTGTGTCTGTAGATTAGACCAAAATAACAAATGTTCTTTTAACTCTTTAATTCTGAAATTAAGATTACCCTGAATTTGTCTTTTGAGTTTTTAATTTACAAATACTATTCTATTCAGTTGACATAGTGGTCTCTTTGAAGGGTTGCTACAATGGCTAGAGTTGGGTAGAGTCATTTTATAACATGATACATAATATTCTCCTCAGTAGTCGTGTTTAATTGTTGTATTTTTTGCTGGAAAACAAGATTTCTGGATGAGATCTGAAAGTGGACCTCGGCTCCTTCGTACCCACACTTTAGACATCTGGGCAGTGTTGTGGGAATTTCTATAAACCCGTGCTCAGAATCACTCAGCTAATGACAGTGTTTCTCTGAAGGTGAATTGTCAGAAACTATACGTGGTTTTTAAAAAATATTCCACTTGAGAAAAACTGTAAAAGCTATTCACGATTTGACCTTATTTTTGGCAGTTCTAACCTATTTATGTTCTATTCGCCGTCTGAAATGCTCATGTCCCATCTCCCCGTGTGCTCTCCTGCTGCCTGTTGTGAACGTCCAGTGCGGTGGCTTTGGGGAAGACCCAGAAGCATGCATTTGATCTGCCTTTAAATGGATAAAACATTTACGGAATTTTTTATTCTGGAAATTATTGGTTATCCTTGTAACAAGTCTTAATACCTGGGAAGACTTGGTCGTTTCGCATTTTAAAAATTCAGTTGCTTGGGGCCAGCCCGGTGGCGCAAGCGGTTAAGTGCTCGCGTTCCGCTTTGGCGGCCAGGGTTTGCAGGTTCGGATCCCGGGCACGCACCGACACACTGCTTGTCAGGCTATGCTGTGGCGGCATCCCATATAAAGTAGAGGAAGATGGGCACAGATGTTAGCTCAGGGCCAATCTTCCTCAGCAAAAAGAGAAGGATTGGCAACGGATGTTAGCTCAGGGCTGATCTTCCTCTCTCACACACACACACACAAAATAAATAAATAAATAAATAAATATTGAGTTGCTTTTTCCCACTGGCTGTTGAACTTCACTCCTGCAATAGTTGTAGCGTATCTTGCTTGCCTGCTTGCTCACTTCCTGTCTTTCCACCTTTTGTTCCATCTTAAAGCTAATTAGGAAAAAGCTGATTATAAACCAGTCTTTACATAAAAATTATTTATCACTAATGTAGCATTTTACCAGAACCATCAATTTATAGGAATATAAGGCCATTGCTTTCCATAATTATTGGATTACATCTGTATCTTTAATTCGTATCTAAATAGCCAGATAGCTTGTATATTCCAGATTTTTCATTTGGACATGCCTTCCTTTTGGACACACTGTAAACTGACAGGACTGTGAGGAGAGTTGAGTATGATGGTTCTGGACGCCTGTAGGTAATAACACCTTCTCCCTACTTTTCTCTCTGCCTCTGCTTTGCTCCTTGTCCCGAACCTGCTCTTGGCTTTCCTTCCGCTGCTCCTCTGGCTCTCTTGTGTGTAAAACAATCACCTGCACCCTAGTTATCCCCATTTGTCCTCGTTCAGCATCTTGCAGCCCCATCAACATCATGCCCTACAAAGCTGCACACTCTAGAAATCCGATGGAGCGACCAAAATTCTTTGTAACACCGCCTGAGGGCTCTGCACGAAGGAGGACTGTTCATGGCGCAGCGGTGAGTAGCTGTCGGGCAGCTGGGTGAGTCTGCTATTTCTGTGCAGAGTGGACACCACCCCGGGGTGCGGTGTGGGTGTAAGTAAGACTGGGAGGTGGCGTCCATCCCACCCATCTGGGATCTGGCTGGCTGCGTGGTGGTGTCCTTACACTTCTCTCTGCTTGGGGATTTGTTCCCAAGAATTTGAATTTGAAGATGAAAACGGTTCTTTGTTCAAGTGTATAAACTTGAATTGAATTTGTATTTATCCATACAAATAAGTGCAATGCCAGCATACTGCTATTTTTGAAAGTCAGAACGCCTTTGAAGGGGAAGTGGGCCTGGACTGCATGTTATTCCAGCCAGATCCAGAAGCTAGCTGACCTCTAAGTGGGGCTTACTAAAAAGCAGTTTAAAGAATTTTTATCTGCTTAGCTAGTCCCTGTCAGGGCCCAGATCTTAAGATATAGTGACAAAGTATTTTGAAAACACTAGTTATTTGCAAAGTAACTAATTCTTGAAAGGCCAATAGTTTGTGTTATAGACTGAGATTTTGCAAGGAAAGAATATAATTTGTACATCCTTGTTATTCCTGGAAGGAGGCTGAGCTAAGGTTAATTTTTACTGTGCTGTAAATGCAATGAGGTAACTTGTGTGTCTCCAGGGATCTCTCGTCTTTATTTTAAACTGTGCGTTGTTTGGTATCTGTTGAAAGATGTGGACCTTGTTCTGCGGTCTTCAGACATTGTACTTCAGTCTGAAAGGACTCGCCAGTCGACCAGGTGCTCACTGCCTCTCTGCCATGTAATAGCATGACTGGTTTAATGAAAGGCTGGAACAGTTTTTTTAAATCTTAACTTTCCAGAGCAGTTCAGATTTATAAAGCTGATGGACACTTAAAAGGGTTTTGCTTAGATGTTTGAGGATAATTCCAGGGTTGTGAGAGCTTGATGGCTTTGCCTGCAGGCAGTTTTCTTTCAAGCCCTTCAGGCTTTCAGGAATCAGCATGTAATTCTTGGAGTCAGACCCCCAGCCCTTCAAGCAGAGGTGAAGCTGCCTTTGATGTGGGGAAGGTGTGTCATTCGCACGTTGCTCTTCAGAGCCCCCAGCCATGGACAGACAGCAGTCGTTAGCACGACAGCTTGGGCCCCAGACGTTGGGTACTCACTGGGGAGGAGAAAGCATTTACCAAAGGAAAAATATCTTGTGGATAAAAACAAAAATTAACACTCCAGGAGGGAAGGAGGGGAGCTTCCCCTTGGCCGACTGATTAAGTGAGAGGGTTTTCATCACATGATCCAGAACCTCTGCTTTCCCACTTTTTATTTTTTTCATGCCTTCCTCTTTCTATATTTGATCTGTTGGGCTTCTTTTCTCCTCTTTACAACCAAATATTCAGGTAAATGCCTATTGCCAGACAATGATTCCATGAGTCCCGGGTACCCCAGAGCGGCCCGTGGACTCCGGCTGAGCACCAGCCGTGTGTGGCTGCCGAGCACTTGAATAGCGGCTTGTGAGGCTGAGCCCAAATTTTACATTTAATTTTTAAAAATGCTTAATTGTAGTAAAAACATATAACAAAATTTACCATCTTAACCATTTGTGAGCGTACAGTTCAATAGTGTGAAGTGTGTTCACACTGTCATGCACCCAGTCTCCAGAACTTGTTAAATCTCGTAAAACTGAAACCGTGCCTGTTAAACAGCTCCCTGTTCCGTCCTCCACTAGCCTCCGCAGCCACCATTCTGCCTTCTGTTTCGGTGAATTGGACTACTTGAGATGCCTCGTGTGAATGGAAGCAGACAGTGTTTGTCTTTTATGACTGGTTTATTTCACTTAGCACAATGTCGTCGAGGTTCGTCCATGTTGTAACATGTGACAGGATTTCTGTTCTTTTTAAAAAGGCTAATAATATTCCATTGTATGTACGTATGTGGGTGTATATATACACACACATATGCATCTGTATGTGTATACACACATTTGTTAATCCACTCATCCGTTGATGGATATTGGAGTTGCTTCTGCCTCCTGGCTATTGTGAATAGTCATGCTATGCACATGGGTATGCAAATATCTCTTTGAGATCCTGGCTTCAGTTCTTTTGGATATATACCCAGAAGTGGGATTGTTGGATCTTATAGTAATTCTATTTTTAATTTTTGGAGGAAGTGCCATGCTGTTTTCCATAGCAACTACACCGTTTTACTTACATTCCCACCAACAGTGCACAAGGATTCTAGTTTTTCCACATCTTCGCCAACACTTGTTATTTTGTTTTTTGTTTTCTGTGGTAGCCATCTTAATGAACATGAGGTGATATCTCATTGTGGTTTCAATTTGCATTTCTGAAATGATCAATGATGTTGAGCATCTTTTTATATGCTTGTTGGCCATTTGTGTATCATCTTTGGAGAAGTATCTATTCAAGTCTTTAGCCCAGCTTTTAATTTTAATCTTTAATTTTATTTTTTTAATCTTTAATTTTATTTTCATTTTTGTTGTTGAGTTGTAGGAGTTATTTACATACTCTGGATCTTAACCCCTTAGCAGATATGATTTGCAAATGTTTTCTCCCATTCTGTAGGCTGCCTTCTTACTCTGTTGATTGTGTCCTTTGATATACACGAGTTTTTAAGTTTGATGTAGTCCCATTTGTCTGTTTTTGCTTTTGTTGCCTTTTGGTGTCATATACAAGAAATCATTGCCAGATCCAATGTCCTGAAGCTTCCCCTGTGTTTTCTTCTAGCAATTTTATAGTTTTAAGTCTTACATTTAGATCTTTAATCCATTTTGAGTTAATTTTTGTATATGGTGTAAGGTGAGTCCAACTTCATTCTTTTGGATGTGGATATCCAGTTTTCCCGGCACCATTTGTTGAAGAGACTGTCTTTTCCCCATTGAGTGGTCTTGGAGCCCTTGTCAAGGATCCTTTCACCATGTACATAAGGGTTTATTTCTGGGCTCTCTATTCTATTCCATTGGTCTACATGTCTGTCTTTATGCCAGTACCACACTGTTTTGATTACTGTAACTTTGTAATATGTTTTGAAATCAGAAAGTGTGAGACTTCCAAGTTTGTTCTTCTTTTTCAAGATTGTTTTCGCTATTCAGGGTCCCTTGAGGTTCCACATGAATTTAGGATGGGTTTTTCTATTTCTGCAAAAAATGACATTGGATTTTGATAGGGATTGCCTTGAATCTGTTGATCAGTTTGGGTAGTATTGACATCTTAACAATAATAAGTCTTCCAATCTGTGAACACAGGATGTCTTCCCATTTATTTGTGTCTTCTTTAATTTCTTTCAGCAATGTCTTCTGGTTTTCACTGTACAAGTCTTCCACCTCCTTGGTTAGGTTTCTGCCTAAGTATTTTATTCTTTTGATGCTATTGTAAATGGAATTGTTTTCTAATTTTCTTTTCAATTTTATTTAATTTTAATTTAGATCTAAATTCAAACAGCCAAATGTAGACAGTGTTGCCTTGTGGTATCTGTCTGTATTGCCTCTCTTGGAGGTGATTTGTATTCTAAACCTAACTCTGTTTGTAAAACTACAGTCTTTGTCCTGCTGGTAAGTTGTCCAGACCACTGACGTGAGCAGCTTGCTGTGTGTGTTCCATCTTAGCCTTGGGGAAAGATGGTTTATACAGGCTGCTGGCTTTTGCTCAGATCAGGATGAGAATCAGGAGCACCTGTGCAGGTGTGTACAGGTGTGGTACCCAAATAGGTGATTGGGTACAAGACCAATGAAAAGACATTAAAAAGAACCAAGAGGGTAAAAACATCCCCCTACCTAGGAGGTTGTTATCTCAAGTGGTGAGCATTTTTCCAACCCACCCCTCTCTGCCCCCCTGCCCCTTTTAGGTGATTAAAGGGAGGTCAGTTTTAGGAAAGAAAGAATTGGTTTGGTGGCACTTGAACAAAAGGAGGACGGTCTGAGGATTATACACTTCGATGTGGGCTCGTTCCCTGATGCCTGTCTTATCGTGGCACCGGTGATGAAATTCATCCCCAGACACTCCACATCACAGATTACCCTTCCTGACGTATTTCCCCATTCAGATCTCTTCTCGATCTGACTTCAGTCCAATTAGAATGGTTTGAGAAAAAGGAAAAAAAGCTACTCAAGGTGCTTCACCCCAGCCTCCCTTGGGGAGAGCCCTGGGCCTTCCACTCTGGGGACTGATCTGCCAGAGGCGTGCTTGCCACCCTGGACGCCTGCAGAGGGTCCCCTGTGGTGGCGTCTGCTTCTGCTCCCCAGGACTGCAGCTGCGCTCTGAGGCCCCACCTCCTGCCTTCAGGGACCAGAGGTGGGGGCAGAGGGTGGTCATGCAGCCACAAGTGACGTGGAGCTGGCACACACCTTGGGACGCTCTCTCCTGCCCCATTCTTCATTTGTTTCAGTGATTCTTAGATGTTTTGCCCCCACCTCCAGCCTAGTCTGTCACCTAGGATGCTACTAAAGAAAATGGAGACAGGAACAGGGAAGGGGACAGACGAGAAGGGCAGGGAGCCAGGAGTTGGTGCTGGAGCCAGGCAGAAAAGGAGGGAAGAGGAGGCGCACTACCAGCTTGCCCGCAGGCCGGGTAATACTCTGCCCCCTCCCTTGTGCCCTCGCAGTCTGCTTTCCTGCAGGGGTCCCCAGAGTGAAGGGTTGACAGGTGCCCATGCAGGTGGGTCCAGCAAGCCCCCACTCCCATTCCCAGCACAGTGTCGGCGAGGGTCCGATACTGGATGAGTCCCCTGGGCCTGTGCGTTCTCCTGTCTTGGAGAATGTAGACTCAGATTACCTCTCTGAGTTTCCCATTGCCCATTTCGACTTAGGAAAGGTGTCATCTCTCGGGCTCGATCCCTAGTTTGCAGTCACAGGAGGGCTGAAGTTTTGGCCTGCCATCAGATTTCAGTTTCATCCCTAGTGAAAAAGACTAAAAATAGCTAACATACCTCACCTTGAACCTGACTTTCCTTCGAGAGCCAGAGGACACCAGGTAAGGAAGGGCCTGTTTGTATAACATCAGTATAAAGAAAATAATGATTTAATGTCTGATATAGTGACATGTAAATTTAAAAAAAAGACTGAGCTGTGGTATGTTCTAGGGTGAAAAAAGAAAAATGCTAAAGAATTAAAAGAGATAAAAGTGGAAAAAAAAAAAACCTGGAACTGACTTTCAGGTTGACATTTGTGTGGGCCAAACCAGACTATGAGATTTTGCTACAGGTGGTTTAGACACACAGTACAGGTGCTTTCCAAAAGTATGAGTGGTTTTGTTTGTTTTTGCAAATATACCTCCAAATCACACATCCAGAACCTTCTTATTAGTGTCCCGTTGTGTTAATTCAGTTATAATGTTCAGTTTTAAGCTAACGAGGGCCTTCTGTTGGGGTGGAATGGAATATATACATGAGAAAGGTTGGGAAATTTCCAGTCACTCACTCAGTGGGTTGCAGTTCCACTGTTGACTCCCTGAATGTGGTTGTCCCACTCATGGAAAAATCTAATTACTGTGTTTCTCTGAATTTAGGGCTCTAAAAGAGATAGGGAGCGAGAGAACATTCCCTTCCACCCGACAGCTGGCATCCGAAGGGCTCTGTCTCCGTCACATCCCAAAGCCAGGTCACCAGCTCCCTCCCGACTCTGGTGAGTGAGACAGGAGGCTGGCTCGGCTGCTCCGTGCTGGACAATCAGCAGCCTCTGTCCCTCGAAGGAAACTGTTCTCCCCATATGTTTGGCCTTGGCTTAGGGAATGACATTCTTCCTTAAAGGAAAGAAGAAAGAAAACTGAAATGAGTATCTCTGCATCTGCCATCATAGAAGACAAATACACAGAGCTTCATTTCCTTTCCATATTGGTCTCTGGCGCTATTACATGGTGGGGTGGGGGAAGGAAGCCTGTGCTGATGTGTCCTCTTCTCTTTCGTTGTTGGTTTGTTGCCCAGGCTCCCATCCAAGTCCCTCCCTCACTTGCCCGGCACACCCAGACCAGCATCCTCCCTGCACCCCGGATCAGTCAAAGCTGCTCCCGCACAGGCCTGGCCCCCGTCCCCCGGCAACATCCGTCCCATCAAGAGAGAAGCCAGGGTGGAGCCTGAGAGAAAAGAGCCCCAGGAGGAACCTCAGGAAGTTGCCGGTGAGCCCTTGCTGGAGGGCAGAGCACCTTTGGTGAAGGTAGAAGCAGCTGCAGGGGAAGAGGGGCCACCCGTGGAAACAGAGGCCACCCCTGGTAAGAGCCCCTGGCTGGTGAGGGAACAGGGTTGCTGGCCTCCTCACTTGCTCTCCCTCTTTCTCCTGCATCCTTTCATTTAGCTTCTTTTTTCTCTTATTGGGGACTTAGAAATTTTACGCTGGGGCTAGTTTTGGGACCTTTTCTTAAATATAATTTTTCTAACATATAAAGAAGGTAGAATCATAGGTCCAACAGGCTGTGCTTGGAGCCCCAGCATGTGAATTCAGGTGTGGTTTCTGATTCCTTTCACTGGCTGAGTGCAGTGCTTCACAAAATGTGCATTCAGAGCACCTGCATCAGAATCACGTGTGTTAGTTAGCTATTGCCATGTAACAAATTATCCCAAAACTTCGCAGCTCAAAACAAACAAATGGTTATTATATCACATGGATTCTTGGGTCAGAAATATGGCAGCAGTTTAGGTGGGTGGGGGGAGGGTGGCTCCTGCACGAGGCTGTTGGCAGGGGTCCTGCATCTCATGACCCGTGAACCTCTCCAGAGGATTGCTTGGTGTTCTCACATCTGTCTGCTTGTTCTGTGGCTCCCCCAGAGTGAGTGATCCAGGAGACAATCGTGAGGAATCCACAGGATTTTTATGCCTCATCTCAGAAATCACACACACACGTCACAATTTCTGTTGTACTCTCTTCATAGAAGCAAGTCACTAAGTTCAACTCACACTCAAGTGGAAGGGGTTAGTCTCTGCCTTTTAAAGGAAAGATTTTCAAAGAATCAGTGGAAATATTTTTAAGCCACCTCATCTATGGTGTTTCAAACTACAGAATCTTGGCCCTACCTTAGACCTCCTGAATCAGAATATGGGGTGGGATCCCAGGACTTTGAGGGGTACTAAGCCCGTCAGTTGACTCTTGTGCAGGATTCCCAGATAAAATACAGAGCGGCCAGTTACCACCCTATCCTGTGCATGCTGGAGTTGAAGGACCACTGGCTTAGCCTATATGCTTGACAGAGGTCAGAATTTTTTTCAGAAGACCTCATCTCTGCCGGGCTAATCAGATGCTATTTAGAAGTTTAAAGTCATCTGGAACTAGGACTTCACCATTTCTTGTTGAAAATTGTCTATATTCAAAAGTTTCCTTGTTAAGACTTATTTGAAGACAGTGGGTAAGGGCAAAGAAAGAATAGATGTTCAAGACAATGATAGTGCTGTTGGAGAATGGAGGAGCCCAGCGTTTGCATGGAAGAAGGGAGAAAGGCCACAGAGCGTCCTGAGAGTAAAGAAAAACCTGTGGGAGCAGAAGGAGGAATGTAAATCCCGAAAGGAGGGTCTGGAGTGTCAGGTGCCAGAGATGGCACCCCGCTCTGGGGCCCCTGTGTGGGGCTTCCTGCTCTGCCAGCTCTGTAGGCCTTTCTCCTGAATCGGAATAAGACAGAGAACTTCTGCTCCCATCTTCGTCTTATCAGGACTAACAGTGGAGGCCCAGGATGGGGAAGGCATGAGTGCCGGCGCCTCCCATCTCGGCCTGGAGGCGGCTCTGGGGAGACAGAAGGGACCTCTTCACTGGGTGTCATCTCCCCAGCCTAATGGCATGGGTGCTGAGGGTGGTCCTGGAAAGACTTTCATCCTCTAGTAACAAGTAGAAAGAGAAGGAATTTTTTGAATGTAGTGAAAGGCAAATGGAAGATCCCATCTTCTTTTTGCTCAGGGTACAGCTTCCCACAGACTCTAAGGTGAGGCTCTGTGTCAGTACTCATTCGATGTATGTTGTTAACTGATTTAACTTGTGTCAAGACCTGGTGGAGGGCGTCCGCTTTGCTGGATGGCTCGCTTACACACAGCTTTTTGTTATCTGTTGCTTGGTTACAGAGAGACTACAGTGACACCGTGAGAACACACAGTAGTAAACATTCCCTGTTCTTCTATAATGATGAATTCTAGGCCCAGGGTGTGGAGAATGCTCGTTTTCGTTTTGTTCTTTGGGTTTTGTTTCCAATTGGTTCTCTCCTTGTACTTGTTTGTACAGTTGCTCCAGCCACAGCCCTGGCCTCCACCTCGGCCCCCGTCCCAGCTCCAGCTTCGGCCCCAGCCCTGGCCTCGGTCCAGGTCCAGGTCCCAGTCCCAGGCCCGCCATCCACTGTGACTGCCAGTGCTTCTCCTAAGACCTCTGCAGGCACCACTGACCCGGAGGAGGCCACGAGGCTGCTCGCTGAGAAGAGGCGGCTGGCCCGCGAGCAGAGAGACAAGGAGGAGAGGGAGAAGAGGGAGAAGGAGGAGCTGGAGAGGTAAGGCAGGGGCTCCTCTGTGTGATCAGTGACCCCCTAGCATCCTTGGGTTAGGTCTCCAGCCTGGGGGCCAGAGGTGATGGTAGTGACGAAGGGAATGGACTAGGTGTTTCAGAATTACTCTTATCTGGTGTTCCTCTGACCACTAAGTGCTATTGTTAAATCACATTTTCTTATTATGATGACAGTAAAACAACATTAATAGAGAAAGGTTTAAAGAAAAACAAATTTATCCATAATCTTACCAGTTTTCAGTAACTGTGCACATTTTGGGTAATCCTTTCTGCTCCCTGTGAACAGTGTGGGGGTGTGTATGCCTACATGAACATACACAGACGCACACATGTATATTTACATAGTTATGACCACAGCAGAGGTACCATTGTACGGTCTGATCTAATCCCCATGTTTCCTCCTCGTCTTTCTAGTTATTTTCAAGCCACAGAGTAAGAGTCCACGTTTTCTTCCTTCCAGATAGAGCGCCTCTCAGAGGGCGGCTGGGTGAGGTAGTTAAGTGGCCCGTGGTCGCCTGACTGCCGGTGTGCCAGGGCCTGCTTGCTTAGCTGGTCTCCCCCGGGGGCTGAGCCGGCCGACGTCAGTATAACTGCTCCTCAGATGAGCACAGCCGCACCTCAGGGATCCTGCGGCCAGGCCTGGGCCGCCATCTGGGATGTGCCCCGCCCTTGGTCCCGACAGGGAGCCCTCGCGGTCCATCGTCCTGTCCTGTGACAGAACATTATAACCTTTATTTATGTAAAAGATTTTCCTTTTTTGTTTTTGGTGGGAGGAGGCTTCAAATTTGTTGCTAAAAAGTCAAAGTATTGGATTAAACAAGTCTCAGCCTTTAAAGATAGTTGAATTGCTCTCCTCGAAACATTAGTGGTTCCACTTGCTTCCGCCTAGCGGAGGCAGCGTGAGGCTGGGCAGACGAGGAGAAGAGCACAGGGGCTCTCGTTGTCCCTGAACGTCTGAGCGCCTCCGGGGGCAGTGTTCTGTGGGACCTCATGACGACACAGACTGCAGCCCCTCTTCGGGGGTCCCCGCCGTGTCACTGTCTTGTGTTTGCCTGCTTCCAGACAACAGAGAGAGGAGCGGGCTCAGAGGGCGGCTGACGAGAGGACTCGCGGCGAGGCGGCCCGCGGGCCGGAGGCCGAGCAGGCGCGGGAGAGCGAGGAGCAGCAGCGGCTGCGCCAGCGCGAGGCGGCCGAGCGCGTCCGGAAGCAGGTGGGCCGGCCGCCCCCCCTCGCCCGGGGCGGGTGGGGGCCTCCCTCCGCCTCCGGGCGCCCGGAGCGGGCAGCGGGCGGCGCCGGCCTCGGCCTGTCTGTGCAAGCGCGCGCCCCTGCTTGTTTCCAGAAGCACGAGGAAGCTCGCGTCCGCGAGGAAGCGGAGCGCGCTCGGCAGGAACGGGAGAAGCACTTCCAGAGGGAAGAGCAGGAGCGCCTGGAGAGGAAGAAGGTAGTTGCGTCCGGCCGAGTCCCTGTTCTGATTCCTGCGTGGACCGGAAGCCGTCCAAAGACCGAGCGACTAGCTCACTGCTGTCAGAAAACCAGCCTCTGCCCGTTCCAGATCCACTAAAGCAGCTCTGTGTTAACAGTCTCCTCCAGAGCAGCCACCCTCCGTGGTCCACCCTTCCCCAAAAACGGTTCCTCCCAACCCATGGGGCTCAAACCAGTCCCGCCTGCTTTGAGTAACTCCGGTGAGGACAAAGCAGTGGGCCCCATGTTTTCCTAAAAGAGCAGACGGCCTTAGCGACCTGCTGTTTGCTCGGCTAGTGAACGTGCCAGGCGGCCTTCCGTGCGTCTGACCCTCTCGCTCCTTCTGCCTTCCTACAGCGCCTGGAGGAGATCATGAGAAGAACCAGGAGAGCCGACGCCGCAGATAAGGTACTCACACGGCCGTTCTGCAACTCTTCTTCATGGCTGTCGTTGTTTGTCTTTATTTTCCTTTGTAACTTTAACATTAAAAAGTCTTTTTCTTTTTTTTCTTTGGTAGAAAACTGTTGATCAGAGAAATGGAGATATAACCAAGGGAGCCCTCACTGGGGGAGCAGGTATTTATTTCAGAGAATTCAAATCAATTCAAATGTAGAGTTTTTGAATTGACTCTTTAGAGGTCAAGATATTCATTGATTGATTTAAAAAAAAAAAAAGACACTCATTGACTTACAGAAGCTTAGACGTGTGTCATCTAGTCCCCACGTTTCCCCTTATGTAAAACTCTCTCTAGCGCTTCTGGAAGATGTTTTTTCACATTTCTTTATACTTTAGTGAAGTGCTTAATGTCTTAAATCATTTTACGTCATATATGTCCCTATATACGATGTGTATACATCTGTGTGTCTGTATATGCCTATGTGGAGAGAGATATACATACACACATATTTATGTATACACACAGGCTTAGAAGAATTTTCTTTGCATTTATAAAATTAAATTTTATTTATTATTTACTGTCTGCTGAAGTAGCATGTTATTTATATTTGCTCTTAAGGACTTTAAACTTCCTCATTTTGACAACTTGTACTTATGGCAGTTCTCAAAAAGGCTTTAAACCTTATTTCTTTTAATTCTAACTTCAGAATAGAGGTAAAATTAAAAGTTTTTTGAAATTTCTTTAGAAAGTTGTTCCTATGCTATAGGCTTTGGACAGAGATGATTAATTTCTTGGTGATTTTAAACCAAATTAGGTTTAAATAAAAATAGAATTTACCTTGCTGTTTTAGTACTCAGAGTCACTTCGTATTGATTACACACCCTCTTGGTGTCTGGTGGTCCCGAGTTCGTTTCCTTGTTTGGTCACCCCTGCCGTCTTGTGAGGTGGAAGGTGCTGTGTCTCGGAGTCAGCAGGCATGTATGGAGACTGCCGTGTACCAGGCCCTCTTGTGGGTGTGGGCTCCCTGTGGACAGGATAGGCAAGGTCATTGCCCCCGAGGGGCACTCGCACACCTGGATTCTGAGTCACCAGCTTCTAATCCTCCTCTTTCCGTGTACCCGAGTGGTCTCCAGGACTGTACCCACAGGTGGTTGATAGACAGCCCATCATTCTGTCTCCCTCTTTCCTCATCGCAACATCAGTATAAAAAGACAGGGCCAGAGATACCTCAGTTTTTCTGTTTTGGGGTTTTTTATTTAATTTAAAAGACTGGAGTAAAGATCAAATGAAGTGATTTATGTGAAAGAACATTCTCTGTAAGTACTAGGGGTTTTCAAATGTAAAATATTGGTATTTTGGGGTTTGGTTTTATTTCAGTAGAGACTCGCCTAGATTCTCTGTTATGATTCCTCTGTAGTGAGGTCTTCATGCTCTTTTAAAGATGCCCTAATTCTGTTTATTTGGAGAATGGCCCCAGTGGTTGCACAGTAACCCCGCTGCATTTTCAGCAGGTGGTCTCCGGGGATGTTGAAACAGGGACAGGCAGTGAGCAGGCAGAGCACCTGCTGAGTCGTCCGTGAGCAGCTTAGGATGTAAACTGACTGACTCAGGACCATTCGGGGGCTGGCGCTATAGTCTGTGCATGGCCAGGCTTCCTGTTGTTGTTGTTTGTTTGTTTGTCTTTTTCTTCCCTGCTGTTGCCCTATCAGTTCTTTGAGCATCCTCTGTACCTCAGTCCGAGAAGGAACAAAGGCCAGAGGGAAGGCGAAGCTTACTGAGCATCACAGCTGTGTTCATCAGCACTCGTAATAAATGTGGTTTGAGTTAGTGCTGCTAAAAAGGGGCCTGAGGCTCATCTCCTGACAAATATTCCTCTTCCCTTGCCCCACATCTGGTTGAGGGCTGAATGGCATCACTGGTGCTCCAGAGAGAGTCTAGGGCGGGCCGGTGGGCGGGCAGCGAGTTTACAGGCCTGTCAGAAGTCTTCTCAGAGGCTGCGTCCTACTAGCTCTGCAAGTTCTGGCAGCTTTCGAGTTAGCAACCACATCTTTGCTTCAGTTATCAGACTCTTTGTACCTCTGACAGTTTTGTTAAATTTGTACAAGGCTGTGAAACACTTCCTTTGAATTGTTCTCTCACATTAAGCTAAAACCATAAACTGCCAGAAATTTCCCTGAAACTCTGACCTACGTGAATATGAAGGTTTACAAGACTTTATAAGTAACCCTGTCTCAAATCATAGAGTCGGTCGTCAGTATCGTTGGCTTAAGCTGGGCTCCAACACTGAGCACCGAATGATGAGGTGGCACAGTCAGGTGCAATTCACTGGCCTTCCATTCATGAAATCTCTTCATTCTAAGTGTGCGTAGAACTAAACTGAGGTTTAAAAAATATTTTTTATCACTTAAGGTATTTCATGGTGATTTTTTCCAATCCTTCAGTCAAGATGTTCAGCATCAGCCTGATCAAGTCAGCTCACTGCTGCCTTCATCAGTTGCTTTGGTTTCAATATTGTATACTTTTTATCCAAATTCAATTTAGTGCAAGCAAAAATAATAACACTGATTTCCACCCTTATGATGTGCTGGGCACTGTGCTGAGCACTTCACATGTGTTAATATATTTAATTCTCACAGGAGCCTGTGAGGTAGGTACTATCATCCATGAGGAAACTGGGGCGCCGAGAGTTTGTGGCTGGCCCGGGGTCGCACAGCTGGTGAGCAGCAGAGCCAGGACATAATGAATCCAGTCATTCTGGCTCTGAGGTTTGGGTTAATAATAGGGTACTAGTAACCCTTTGCTCCATCTTCTTTGCCATGTCCAGCGGTATCTGCACTTCCCTGTGTGACAGACTCTCCAGGAAGTGGAGAACCATCGGCCAGCTCGCATGTGGTTACCTCCCATCCATCGAAGGTGACTGTGGAGAGGTGAGTTCAACCCCGGGGGCCTCTTACTGACACACCGTGGAGCAGAGCACTGCTGTTTTACCCCTGCAGTCCCACCAGAAGTTCCTGGACCTGGTGGAATTTCAAAGTTTTAACATTAAGATTTGTTTTCACTTAGGTTCATTAATTTTTGGTACAGCTAGTAATTCTTTACTCTGAGAAAGGGAAAGGATCTTCTTTCTTGAGTCTGTAAACATGATGGTGAGGTTTTTCTGTGGCTATTAAAGAAAATTACAGGGAATAATTTAATACTTTCCTTTGTATATATTTAACGTGATGTAGACCGTATTCCTACCCTTTAAATGGTATATAACAGCTGTGTTTCCACCATACATAATATTATAGTGGGTCTCAGGTTTGTTCCATAGTAAAAGTAATTGAGATGCTCATATTTCTTATGATATATTAGTAGTAGTAGGGCTTTTTATTGAAGAATCAAACAGTTGCTAGCAACAGTCAAGAAAGAAGTGTGGGTTGAGAAAAGACTGCCTTTCTCTTCTCTTACATTTATATCGACAGCATCATAAGAGCACTCTCAAAAGTGAAAAATGAGAGTAATCATAGCCTGTGCCTAAAAATCCAGTCAGGGAGAACTTGTAGAAATATTTGTAATAGTGTTCAAAGATTTCAGCTATGACTTTTTTGTTAATTTTTGGAATTCACTTAATTATTTTATGAGTTTTCCTGTCTCTAATGCCAGAGTCTTTGCTATTGTAAGAAAATTGAAGGTCCTCAAATTAATTATTTTCTTAATCTAAAAATACACACTACACAACATTTTATAATATAATTGGCAGCAATGAAAAGATAAGTCATCCTGAGATGGACATCCTAAGATGTCCGTAAGTCATAAGATATCCACTGATATCTTTCTGGGACAGTGAGATATTTTATTTTGCCCACCATGATACTGAAGAGAATAATTTTCCCAAGAGAGATCTTAATAATAAGCTTTCAGTTATGTTGAATAAATTTATTATCATAATTACCTAAGATATATATTAAATGATATTTTAATTAGTTTGATTTTCAAATCAAGTGTTCATTCTCAACTGCTGTAACTTATGATGTTCAATTCATTGACTTTAGAGATTTTTAGGAAAGAATAGAAACTACCACAGAGAGAACACCATTATTATGATAAGGAACAAGTTTATTAAGCCACTGATAATTCTATCTGATCAATAAAATGAGTTTATACATTAGCTGACTCTTTTCAGTGGTAAAATCACCAAGTAATTAATCATTTTATAAGAACCTGAAACATAATTTTACTATGTAAAATGATACAGATAATAAAATTCTGTTTGCTTTTAGCCTCTTCACACAGAAAGGCAACAGTTAGTAATTAAAGAAAAACTATGGTAGTATGAACTTCCTGGTGTCATCCATCTTTACCAAGTGATAAATTGTCCTTTGTCATACATGTAATATGATCCCTGTCAAACTGTTAGGAAAAATAGAGCTTGGACTTTTTCTGCTCTTTCACCTAACAATGCAGGCAGGTCCAGATTAGTATCTAATATAAACATTAGCAAATAATACAAGAATGACCCTAACAAATGAAATCCATTGGCCTCAGTGCGTCTCCCCTTTAAAGGAAAAAAAAATTCCAGCAGGTTCCTGGAGTTATACAAACAAGAGTTACGTTTATTATTTTTACAAATACAAACTCAGGTTTAAATTTTTGATAGCTTTACTTATCTATAAAGCCAAAACAACAAATCACAAGTTGAAGTAAAAAATAATATGGCTAGACTGAGAACATTCAAATTAAACAAAAGTCACTTATTGTGAAGAATATTTTTCTGAAATTAAGTGGACAGTGTACACATGGTTCTGATTCATCCCTTTTGCCTGAGGGATGCTCGTGCCACCGTGAGCTGCTGGTCTGTGTCACCCATTGCTTTTCTCTATTTAAACTGCCTTCAGACCTCCAGTCTCTTTCCATGCGGTGTACCATGATGTCATGTGGCACTCACAATATTTATTTATCCAGTTCAACCGAGTTCATTGGTCGATAGCCCTTGTCATGTAACCTGTGCTTCCTGACACCAGTGTGTTCTGAAATACCAATGCAAAATGAAGGACTAACACCATGTGGTGAAACTCAGCTTTGTGATGGTCAGCCACAGAGATGGTCAGACTGCTCTTCTACTGATTTTTTAAAATTTTTATCAGTGAAAACATAAATTTATAAAAATTCGTATAGAGAGTTGGACCCCAGTTTGAGAAGCACAGCCCATTTCTGAATGATGCGGCCTGTGGGGAATGTTGAATGTGCTGCTTGCTTTGTTCCCCATTGCGTCATACGCGGGGTTTGTGATATGTAGCCTCAGAAGCTCTGCTTCCCTTAATTATTTTTAAATTTATTCTCCTTGAGTTGATCCACACCAGTCTGGAAACAATCTGTATTTTCACTTTCATCACCCCTGGTAGTGACAAGTACAACAGGAGAAGCGCATGAAGAAACGCCTTTATTTCTCTTACAGCTACTTTTTTGCAGTTCCAGAGTTAGGACCCAGAGTTGTCACAAGCTAAGGTTTAAGGAATAAGTCTTCTTTCACAGTTTCCCTACCTTTCATAATTTGTTTGGATTTCATTTCTGTTCCCTTTCCGCTTTCGTCTTATAAACGGAATGTTCCTGTTGTGCTTACTGTGTCAGTCAGGGTCCAGTCGGGAGAGAGAAATGAGAAGATTAATTTGAATGGCCAAGTTTAATATCAGGAGTAATTAACTGTTACTTGGGATTGGAGTAACAAGAGATTGGCCAGTAAGAAGTGAACTCTAGGGCTGGCCCCGTGGCTTAGCGGTTGAGTGCACGTGCTCTGCTACTGGCGGCCCGGGTTCGGATCCCGGGCGCGCACCAATGCACCACTTCTCCGGCCATGCTGAGGCCGCGTCCCACATACAGCAACTAGAAGGATGTGCAACTATGACATACAACTGTCTACTGGGGCTTTGGGGGAAAAAAAAAAAGGAGGAGGATTGGCAATAGATGTTAGCTCAGAGCTGGTCTTCCTCAGCAAAAAAGAGGAGGATTAGCATGGATGTTAGCTCAGGGCTGATCTTCCTCACACACACAAAAAAAGAAATGAACTCTGAAGAATACAGGAATAACAGATATAAGGAGCAGCCACAACCCCTGGGCTGTACCCAAGGAAGAATCCCGTCCCCCAGGACTTCCCCAGACCTTGTTGGAGAGGATATGGCTGTGACTCACTAGATGGTGGAGAAGTTGTGGTGATTTCTTGATGGTGGAACTTGCCAGATATCCACCCTCTAGAATGCTTCAGAGAGCTGTCCACCAGGAAATGTCTCACCAGAGGCACTCTTCCACAAGTCTGCCCCAGAATGGTGCTGGGGAAGCTGCTGGCCACACTGCGCTGCAGGGCCTGGGCCCCGGAGAGGCCCCCCGTGCCGCAGGGGCTGGGCCCCGGGGAAGCCTCACGTGTGCAGGAGCCAGACGTGGGGAATGCTGCGAGCGGTGCTGCAGGGCCCGCTGAGCGAGCACAGCCAAACCAGGAGGTAAAACTCCACTCCTGCAGCGTCTCTCCAGCAGCCTCTGTTGACAAAACTCACAATGGTGCCAGCTGGCAGAGGAACAGTATCTGGAGGGCCCAGATCCAGTTCCACAGAGCAGGAATGAAGGGTGGATTTGGAGCTGAGAGGCAAAAAATTGAACTGACAGGTTCGCCTTATCTTTAAAAGGTTCCTTCTCCAGCTCTTTGATCTTTTTAGTCGTGTTTCTCTAGAGGTTCCTCAGCGTGCCTGTGGGGTGGAGGAAGAAGAGCTTTAGAACTAGAAGTCCCGGGCTGGAGTCCTAGGTTTTCCTCTGAGAAGTCCAGCAACCCTGGGATTCACCTGCTTGAGTAAGATGTAGTGTTCTCGTCTGGACACAGCTGTCTTCCCCACAAGGTATTGGGAGGCCCAAAGAAACATTGTCTGTGAAGAAGCCCTGAAAACTCTGTTGTACCCTACAGATGTTAGATGTTATCTTGATCCTCCTAAAGCGCAGTGTCCAGTACCCTCGCTGCAGTGTGATGTTGCGGAAAAATGCTTTCGTGTTGCGTCTGCTATCCCATCTTCTCGCATTTTATTGGCCTTTTTTTTTTTTTTTTTGTGAGGAAGATCAGCCCTGTGCTAACACGCATGCCAATCCTCCTCTTTTTTGGCAAGGAAGACTGGCCCTGGACTAACATTCATGCCCATCTTCCTCTACTTTATATGGGACGCCACCACAGCATGACTGGACAAGTGGTGCGTCGGTGCGTGCCCAGGATCCAAACCTGCGAACCCCGGGCTGCCGAAGCAGCGCGCTCGCGCTTAACCAGTGCGCCACCGGGCCAGCCCCTTATTGGCCTTTTTTAGCCATAAAAACTAAAGGAATCAGTGTCCCCAGGAAACAGTTGACAGTGATTGCAAGATCTCTTACCACCATTGTGACTGTTGGGCTCCATCTCTTAGGGATGTTCAGCTTACAGTTCCCTAAGCCCACTGCTTTGATGTTGCCTAGATTTAATTATTTTCCCTGTTATCCTCAAGGGATTATTCTTATGCCTTGCATTTCCCAGAATAAACATGATCTGCATACTTACATTTTTCATCCTGCACGTCTTCCAGATTATTCTAGAACTAGCATTAGCACTGACTCCTGAGGCTCTCGGCTACTCCTACTCTTCCATCCAGAGAAGGACCTGCTTAAACCTGCCTTTAATACCTTCCCTAAGACGGTTTCCTATTCACAAATAAACATTCCCTTTGATTTAGTGGGGACTCAACTTTAAACAGTTTTACTTCTGAAATCCTGTTAAAGACTTTAAAGTTACGAATAAATCACATCCACTGATGTTCCCTTTTACTCCCAATTTCAAGTCAACCTTGAACTCATTCACCAGAGTCATTGTTTGTCACCTCAGTGCATTAGGGTTAATGAAGCATCCATGGTCCTGGTAATCAGTCAACATCTTGATGAAATACTCTCCTGTGCACCCAAAGTAGAGTTGTCAGTGTCTCCAGCTTGCCCACTGTGAGTTAAATTGCTGGTTGGAGATCCCCAGGTCCTTCCGGGGAACCTGATGTGGGTGACACTTTGGAATTCCACAGGACAGGTGCAGTAAGCGCTGGGGCAGGGTTTGTTTTCACTGGAAAACTCCACTCCTCAGAGTGAATATCTTTACTTCAGATTGGGAGAAGTTTCCCTTTTCCAGTGTCTCGAGTACCTAATACAATGGGGGGGCCTTCTCCTCAGGAAAAATAAACGAGTCCTGTGAACCGGGTTACCTTCACCCCTGCCCACCCCGGGGACACATCAGCAAGCTGTCCAGCAGCACCCCGGGTGGCAGTGTCCTCCTCATGTTACCTTTCTGGCAGCTGGCACTAGCAGCGTTCCTGGGGCAGAGAGACCCTGAACCCTTCTCCCTCCCCTTGACCTCCAGGGGCCTGAGTGACGTGTCTGGGCCTTGTGGTTTCTCTGGCTCTCAGCCCCGGGTGTGCAAGCCTTTTCAAGCCTGAAAGCCATTCTCCTTGTCCAACAGGCTCCCCACTGGCAGTAGGTGGAATTGAAGAGGGTTGGAGTTACCAGAATGCTGGCCAGCTTTTAAAGGTGCAGAGAAACCTGTGAGCCCAAGCAGGAAGATTCTTACTCCAGAAGCCGTTTTTGGTTCTTGAGAGAGAGTATTGATAGAGGGAGGCGCCCATAGAGTGGAGGAGTGTTTGTTCATGGATGGGGAGCTTGCCATGGAACAGGAAGCAGAGGGCACGGATGGATGTGTGAGCACAAGTGTGTGGGGAAGAAACGGTTCTGTTTCCCAGGTTATTCTATTCTTCCACCCCCAGCTGAGAATCTCGATTCTGGACGCTAAACTCTTCTCCTGGGTGTACAGGCTGCTTACTGTCTCACCCTCCTAATACCCCAGAAGACGTTTTATGCCTGTTCCTGGCCTGGGGACTGTCGTTGCAATAGAATGTTCTTTCTTTCTTAAACAAGGAGTTTGTAGTAATTTTGGTTTTTGAGCTAGTGGTTTTCCTCCAAATCTTAGGAGTTTATCATTGTTTTTAGTTTTGCCTAAAGGAAAAGTAACATTCCCAAGCCCCCATCATTCAAACAGAAAGAGAGGTATCACTTTTAATTTTAAAGTTACTTGCTGTAACATGGTAATAAACATCACGAAACAATAAGGCCCTGACTACGGTAGGCTGTGTGGACTGTCAGATGCCCACCATGGCCCCAGCGCCGTTCCCCGGATGGGTTTTGCACTGACCAAGTGAAGTGCACAGTCTTCACCAGTTTGCATCCAGCTTCCCCTCCAGAGCGTAGCCCGAGAGAGGGAATTCAGAAGCTGGTGCTCTTATCCTGAGAGGACTCACAGATCCACAGTCCCTAACCTCAGTGACTTCAGTTGTATAGTTTCTGCTGGTCACAGTGTCCTCTGAACATTTAATAATTGATCACCCAGAGCATGTGGCACCATTAGTCCTGTGACTGCTAACAAGTGAGAATGGTGGGGTGGGCGGGGAGGAGCGGGCGGGGAAAGTGAAGTCAGCGCTGACTCACGTCCGGGGTTGGCGTTGGCCTTGGCGTCGCGGTTACAACTTGTCAGCACACGCGGGCCTGGGCGGTGACAGGAGCTGAGCTGGCCAAGGAGTGAGGGCTTTGGAGATGCGGTCCTTCTCTTGACCATTAGCCAGGACTTCTGCTTGAAACCTCTTCAGGGTGAGAACGAGAACGGTTTCCCTGGTTACAGAAAGCCCCTTGGTGCTGGGAAGGAGGAGGAGGATGGGTGTGGCGGCCCAAGCCCTCAGAAAGGCAGGTGTAGGCGTGAGTGTGTGCACGCGCATGCGGGCAGACCACCCTGAGGCCAGGCCCCCTCTCCCCGCCCCCGCCTGTATCATATTACTGTGTTCTTTTTCCAGCACTGTTGCAGATAATGTTTTCAGTGTACCCTGCAGTGCCTTCTGAGACACTTAGGACTTCTTTATTTTTTTTTCTAGAAGAAAAAGTTTAATAATTAACAAAAATGTACCAACATATCCAAATCAAAAACGCTTTAGGATGTATTCCACAAAGTCAGTACTCCCTGCTGATTAAAGAAAGTAAACTATTTCCTCAATAGGGGAAAAAAAGCAAAGACTCCTCAAAAAAAAAGAAAAAAAAAAGGCAATGGAAAGATCAGGTGTGCATTACTTTATTCACAATTTTTGCTTCGTATTTTTAGTGTTTTTCGGTTTCCTTTGGAAAATTTTAAGTCTAGGATTTTGTCGGATAGGAGGGTCATTTTGGTACATGAGTGGAGCACTGAACAGATCATGAAGCTTGCACGTATGTTTGCTGCTGCAGTCAGATAACGTGAACAATAACATTGACATCCATCTGAAGCCCAGGCATTGTTTCGCTGCGTCGTGAGGCATAGTGATGAATATGTACCATCAAGGGCTGCCAGTCTGGTTATGGAGCTTGTGAGGAGAGTGAAAAACCTGAGAGAAACTGTAGGTGGAAAATTCTGGCTTTGATGGCCAGTTAAATGTACCTTAAAAGTAGGTGCAAGATATTCAGCATGAATTAACGAGAATCAGGTAGGGTCAGAGGCAGATTTAAGGGGTAAAAACGGGAAGGTTGGTCTTGAACAATTTACCTATAAAATTATGCATGTGTCTTAGGAAGCTGGAGATACCCAGGAAAGGCTAGACTTTGAATAGCAGGGAGTGTACAACATGAGGTAATGACAAAAACACGGGACCAGAGATCCAGAGATTGTGCATTCAGTCTGGACTGTCTCTTAGTAGTTGTGTGACTTTGTACAGATTATCCCCTCATCCCCGAATTACAGTCCCCTCCCCTTGGAAGTGAGGGTCCTAGTAAGGGCCGCTCTTCATCACACAAAGGAATGTGGAGACGCCTGCAGTGGAGATTGTTCAGTGTGTGCAGAACTGTCGAGGATGATCTGTTCTAATTGATAAATTGTTCCATTTGATAAGTTTTATAACAAAAACAGATTTTTTTAAAATAAGAATTTAAAATACCAATATGTCAGAATTCACCATTTTTGTTAGTAAGGATATGGTCAATCAGTCTAACATTTTGATTGTAAAATTATAAAATTATTTATTATAAAACAGGTTTTGGTTGTACTAAAAATGTGTTTTCCAGTTTTAATACTAATTCATTTTAATTTTGATTTTTAAAATTCCCTAGTACTCCCAATTTGGAAAAACAACCAAATGAAAATGGAGTCTCTGTTCAGAATGAGAATTTTGAAGAAATTATAAACTTACCCATTGGATCTAAACCATCCAGATTAGATGTCACCAACAGAGAGAGCCCAGAAATTCCTTTGAATCCAATTTTGGCCTTTGATGATGAAGGGACACTTGGGCCCCTGCCTCAGGTAGATGGTGTTCAGACACAACAGATAGCAGGTAAGCTTGCCTCAGACTCCTTCAGGAATCCTCAGGAGTGTGTGACACTCAAGAGGGAATGAACCTTCTGCAGTGTGATGGGGCACACTCCATCCTCCAAGGGACCAGATAAGTCACATGGAAAAGATTGTGCATGGATCACAGGAAATGAATTTTGAGTTGGATTGGGCAACTTTTAGAGTCCCTTCTGTTTTCCCACTCAATGTAGAAATCCAGTCTCAGCGCCCACTGGGTGTCCTTCAGCTTCCCCTCACGGAGCAGCACCCATGGCCCAATGGCACCCACTGTCAGAGCAGGCTTCATGTTAGGGCAAGCTCTTCATGCCCCACCATCTTAGGGACTGCTGAACCTAGTTCTGCCCACAGGAGAAAAGGTCGGTTTGGTTTTTATTCCATCTTTCTCAGTTCTTTAGGTATTTGAAAAGTGTCATCTTGTTCTCTCACCATTTTTCTCTCATTTGGGTTTAGCAACCTGGATAATATACTATTGTCCTTTTTAAGTGTAATAAGATAGTTAAAATTTAGGTAATGAAACTGATATTCCAAACTAGGAGCATACTGAGCCCGAGGGTCTTTCACCTGTTGTTGAGTGACTGTAGCTGTTGTTTAAACTGCCCAGTGACTCTCTTTGACCTGTTTCTGGGACTCACACTGAAGTCTTGTGTAAAAAGAACAGTAGCTTTACAGGACGCAAAGAAATAAGGAGCAACATCAAAAACTACGAACTCAATGGTTATAGCAACTCAACAGCACAATCCCGTCAGCCTCAAGAATGAGTGGGATAATCCCAGCTCCATCTCTTTGCAAACCTCTGGGAATTCTATCAGCTTCTCTTCTCCGCAGACCACTTTCATTATTGACCAGCATCTCTTTATACTCTTATGAACAGAGCTGGCCAAATCCAGCATATTTAAATGGAGTCAGTAAAGAATTATTTGTGGTCAAATTGTTTTATCTTTTAGATTCCATCTATGAACTTGTAACAAATATTTTCCCCTTTAACCGGTTGAAAAGCCTGTGTTGAACCACCTGTCCAGGTGAAGCTGGTCTCTCCTGCTCTAGTCTACCAACCTTGGGAGTACAACTTCACTTCAGTGATCTGCCGCTCTAGACTGTAAAAGGAAGCTGTAGGGTCCAGCCCAGGCCTGGCATTCTAGTTCTTAAGCCCTTGGGAACAATCTGATTACTTGTACTTTGGTGGAAACACTCATGGTGCAGCTTCCTGCCTTGTGTTGCAGATTCACGGAGAGGGAAGGAGTCTCCAGGTGACGTCCTGCTGTATTTGCCAGGCCATAAATCACCTTTTGAGTATCTGTCATTCCATTCTCACTGTTCCCACCCTTCCCTACCTTCTCTTGGAACCTAGTCCAGTGCTGTGACCTTAAGTAGTATAAGGGTTCTCATGGGGTCATGACTATTTATCAACAAACATTTGTTTAACCTCCAATATACGTTTGGAGCCCAAAGAATCAGTACTGAGGATACAAGACAAGTGAATGAAAATCCCTAACCTCAAAGAAAAGTACAGTCGACATATACAGTTTAGAAAAGTAAATGATAGAGCCTAAGTTGAAGGAAAGACAAGGACGTGTGTTTTCCTACTAGTGGTAGAATTCACTTAAATATAAGACTGTGGATCCTGATAAAATTGCCTATTATATAAGACGAAGTATATAAAAGCATGGCTTGGGCCGGCCCTGTGGCTTGGTGGTTAAGTGCGCGCGCTGCGATGCTGGCAGCCCGGGTTCGGATCCCGGGTGCGCATTGAGGCACCACTTCTCTGTCCATCCTGGGGCCGAGTCCCACATACAGCAACTAGAAGGATGTGCAGCTATGACATACAACTATCTACTGGGGCTTTGGGGGCAAAAAATAAAATAAATAAAATCTTTAAAAAAAACCAAATAAATAAAAGCATGGTTAAGTTTTAGAAATGTAAGATACTAGCATAGTATTCTTTAAGATTTTAGATACAATCATGTTAATCTGTTCTTTTTCTGTCTCCTAATACAGAAGTTATATGAGCATTTCTTCTGAAGAACCAAAGCAGAAGTTTAATAAGAATTGCTGCAATTCCTGGAATTCCCTCCGTGCTGTGAAGGAGCACCCCCCTCCTCCAGTTTTCTAAAGATTTTTTGACCATCATTTTGAAAAGAGTTTATTAAAACCAGCTAAAGACAACAGACTGGAGAGCTTTTCTAATACTTTTCGCCAACAGAGAAAAAGAAATGCTCCTTATTCTTCAATACTTTAAAATGGCTTTTTCCAGTGTCCTCCTTCTTAGTAAATCAATATTTTTCTGCATTCTCTAAAAGATGGAAGCATTTGACTATAAAAGAAATGGGCTGACTAGGCATGGTTTTTCACATAGATATTTTGGTATTTTGGTCTTTAAAAGCTAACGTAAAATTGGCACAAAAAAATTCACCTTTTGCAGTATAATACTTGAAAAATAAGTACCTCTTAGCTCTACAGGTAGAGTGAATAGGAGAGGTGTTTAAATTAAGCCTGTTTGTTTAAATATTATTGCAAAGAACTCTGTTTGTAGAGGCAAATTATAGGCAGATTACCAGGTTCTTGTAAAGCAACTTGTGTGTGGACATTCTGCAGACCCAGCTGTCACGTTCCTGCAGCTCCTTTTTGCAAAAGCATACTGAATAGTTTTAAAATGTGAAAAAAACATTATTTTTTCAGAGCAAGAAAATAATTTACTTTCCTCTTCAACAATGTATTTATAAAGTTTTTCCAGATAAACTAATCAAATAAATTAGAACATGTGACAACATTGCAGATTTGATTTATTAGCTGCACTCCTTGTGTCACCGTGAGAGAATGTCGCTGACAATTCAGGGCTCTTTCCGAACTCTGTTGGTTCTGTCCCCAGTGGTGGTGGGACTTACCTTTGCCTTACCTGATCACGGATTATGTAGGGGGGAGTAGAGATTTAATACTCCTTTAAATAGAAAAAGAATTTGGTTGTGCTCGTTTAAGAGCAATGGAGAACTAATGGAACGTCGACTGTTTGGCACACAGGACACTGCAGGATGCCTTCACGAGTGTCCTCGTTCTGCGTGGCGTCCATCACCTTCTGCTTTCCTTCTTCACTTGTGCTGCTGAGTTGAGCTGTACAAACTTGCACTTTCATAAATAATGTAATTCAATTTGAATATAAATTCAATTTTATTTTACCATTTTAGAGACTACTAAGAACTAAATACTGAAGGAGAGGGAACACGTGTTTTTATGTGGATGTTAAAAACTTCGACCACTGTAGTGTGTGGGTTTTATTAAAAGAGCTATTGGTGAATCTGTTGAGTGAGAGATTATTCACTTATTAGACTGTTTCCTTAAAATCCAAGCATATCATCTGTAATAACAGCTGTAATTTGTTAAAACATTAATTTGGGGTTTTTCCCTATTCTCAGTTGCCCATATACACATAGTCATATTAAAAAAAATCTGTTTAACCAAGTCGTTTTATTTGTTTAAATCGACCTAGCACGAAACACCAAATAAAATGTGTATGACATAGTTTTCCTTTTAGGTTTCTCGTAGTTATAACTTCACTCAGGTTCATTCTTGAGCTTTCAAATTGCCCTTCATTTAACCTCAATTACATTTTCCCAGCTTCCTCTGAACAGGCATACAGAACAGGTTTATTTAAAATTTAGAGCAGTGGTTCTATTTTGGCTAAGTTTTCCTTTTTTCATTTATATTTTTAAACTTGAGCAGTCATTAGCAAACTGAAAGACTTCTAAGTAATCAAGTTTTAATTAGAAGTAGCATAAAATTGTTAAATGTATTTTAAGAACAACACTGCCAAAGGACAAACTTGACCCTTAAATGACTGGATTGCTTTCTGTCCAGCCTTGAAGATCAGCATTCAGCTGTGGACCTCACAGAGGTCTCCAGTGGGCACTACACTAGGGCAGTGCTCAGGGATCCGCATGACCCTCACCCTGGAATGAGGGCAAGTGGGCTTTCAGTTTTCTTTCCACACCGTCGTAGACTGTCAGGCCAGTTCAGTCACCAGTCACAGGATCATTGGGTAGATGGAGGCCAGCTTTTCCTGAAAGGTAATATATTATTGTCTCCTCCTGCATAATCTCACTACCTGGTAGTGTATTACAATAAAAACAAATCTAAAACAGTTCTCTCACATGGACAAATATTTGTTAGCAAGCAGGGCCTTTGGAAAGATTGGGGAAGTTTCTTCTCTGCTCTTAATCCCACAAACACCTTGACTGAAAGATTCACAGGGAAGCAGAAGCAGTGGTCTTCCGCAGGCAGGATGGGTCACCTGGTGGGATCAGGCAGCACAGTCTTAAATGTGTGGGGTTGAGGGGAAGAGGGCATGGGAGCAAACAGCTGTGGACCTGAGGTGCCAATCAAAAGTCATTCGCTGGCAGGATCTGCCATATTCTTTTACCTCATCTCATGCATTTTACCTCTTAAAAATCTTTCTAGGCAACCGCTCATCTCAAGCTCCATTTGCTAGTGAGCAATTGCTGACATCTTATGCTGATGAACATGGGTGTAGATTTAGGCAACAGTGTTGAGCACCCACCTGGCCACTGATTGGGGTCCTTCAAATGCTGTCTGACCTACCCCCAGGGTAAGATTAGATTACACATGCACACATACATCACAAAGTTTATACTAAAGCATTTTGAAGTAATTATTGCATATTAAAATAACAGGCACCAATAAATTCTCCCATCTTGTGCATTCTTTTTTTTTTTTTTAAACTGATGAAAATCATTCAAGTATTGGCCTACATCTGTTTTGTGCATAGAACATTAAAAGGCATGATGAAATAGCTTTTGGATCAGGTTACAAAAAGCAGGTTTTTAAAATGACCTTATGGGCCAGCCCCGTGGCCTGGTGGTTAAGTTCAACGCACTCCACTTCAGCAGCCCGGGTTCCCTTTCTGGGCAAGGACCTACACTACTCGTCGGCAGCCATGCTGTGGTGGCCACCCACGTACAAAATAGAGGAAGCTTGGCATAGGTGGTTAGCTCAGGGCTGATCTTGCTCAAGCAAAAAGAGGAAGATGGGTGGCAGATGTTACGTCAGGGTGAATCTTCCTCAGCAAAAAAATAAATAAAATGACCTTACTTCCAAAAAACCTCATGCCCTCTGCTCCCGCATCTTGTTTTCACTAGCAAACACCTAAGCCCACTCAGAAATGTTTTAGGTTGTCACTTGCTCACATCCTTTGGCACCTGTTTGGTTTGGGGGAGGTGCTCTAAAGGCCTTGCAAGGAATGAGAGAGAAAAGGACCAGCATGTGAACAGAAGGTACAGTTCTAAATTTGTTACAAATAAAATGTCTTGTTAGTAACTATCTCCTTGGTGGCTATTACTTGGCAGGTTTGATTACAATTTTAGAGGTCAAAATTTTAGTAATTAGTGCCAAGATTGGTAAAGTTCAAAAGAAAAATTTTTAAGTTGCTGTTAAAAAATATACACTAAAAAAATATTAAGACCGACAGTCACTTTTGAATTATTGGATCTCTCATACCTTGCAGAAAACTAAAGGGAGAAAGTAAGGAGACGGGGCTGGTGTTGGAAGCAGTAGAAGCAAGGTTAAGGGCTGGCGCCTGGTGTGAGACTTAGGTGTGAGTACCAGGTCTGCCCTGATGAGCACGGAGGCTCAGTGAGTTACCTGTGTTCTCCAGGTCTGGATTCTTCATCCGTACCTGAAAGAATAATGCCCGTCTCACTGGTCATGTTAGCAGTTATCAAAGTTGGATTAAATGAGAGTAAATGTAGATTTCTAACACATAGTAATTGTTCAATAAATGTTAAAGTTTTTCTCTTTAGTTTGAGATACCTGTGGTAGACGGGGCCTCTGGCAAGATCAGCAGGACACTGCCCAGAAGGCGGGAGCCTCACTGTATTTTTAGTAGTGGCCTCGAGTGCCACTACTTTTTTTTAATAAATTGCCCATTCTAGGTATAATACCAAGCAAGCTAAGCAGATGTGAACCCATTTATCTCTAGAACGGTATTATGACAAGTTCAGAGTCTCTAACCATTGTGATTGCTATTTAATTTCATAATCATTCCCTCCACTCCTCCCAAGATGTTTTCTTCCCTAAAGAATTGTGGTTACTTTATATTTTTATACATTTGGGGGCTCTTCTTGACATCCTCTGACACAATGAGAGTTGTCTTGTTGGCTCCGGAGCCAGGGATGATGGTGAGTTTCTCCAGAAGTTACTGTCAACGTCGGCCAACCCTCCGGAGCTGGAGCAGCAGGAGGTTTCCGGAGCAGCAGGAGGTTTCCAGAGCAGCTGCTGAGAGGTGGGTTAAGCAGATCATGTTCAGACTGTAGCTGATGGTTCCTTCTCCTCCCCAAGTGGAGTTGCCTTACCGAAAGATGTCAGAGAAAAGATGGCTTAGGAGGCAAGACTCTGGAGGCCCTTGCTGGGTCTGAGAGCTGGGAAGGCCCTCCCTGGGTACGTTCTAGTGCCCATTCTGGAGTCATCCTTTCTCTCAGAATGGTTGACAGGAATGTGCCGCTCCGCTGAGCTGCACCTGCCCTACGCCGTTACTGAAGTTGCCACCTGATGTGTCCTCTGGCTGGAACGTCAGTGTCCCGGATGTGTGGGAGTTTGGACTTAATTGGGGGAGGGTTGGAAAAGGTAAGTGCGGAACCAACGTCTGTGACTGACACCATTTCACAAGGTAAGAACAGTAAAAATAAATGACTGTCAAGGTCACTACCGGTGACCCATTCCCCCAGGCCATGCACCTGCGCTGACACGACTGAGCAAGCCCTGGGAAAGAATGTGGGTACTTTTCTCACTGGATCAAGCCCCTGTCGCTCGCTGTAGCTGGCTTGACAACACTCCGTTTTTTTGGCTGCCTTTCCTTGTCTCATTTCTCCATCCCTTACAGGAGGTCACTTCCCCATCCAGATAAACTCCTGGTACTCAAATCCTTGCTGTAGGGTCTGCTTCCAGGGAAACCAGAGCTAAGGTTATCCTGCTAAGGTCTGTTAGCATAATTTTATAAAACAAGTACCATTTTATCTCCTAACAAGAAAGCAGCTCTTGTTCTTGAATAAGTGAATAAATTGAACTTGGAAAACCCACTCCAGCGTCTCGTTCTCACTTGGTCTATACCCCAGGTAGTGGGAGGTGTTTTCAGCAGAATTCAGTTCTTACGGGACAGAAGTTAACAACAGTGAGCGTGCTTTAACTTCTGGTGGACGTGGGCCTGTGGTCACCAGGGTATTTCCGCCATGACCCCCCTACTCTCTGTGTTCTTCCGGCCAGTGGTCACCCGGGTATTTCCGCCATGACCCCCCCTGCTTTCTCTGTCCTTCCGGCCAGTGGCTCCCACCTGTTGAATTCTGCTGCCTCGCCTTTGTGCTTGTATCCCAGATCCTTTCTGGGGAGGTCTCTGTACTTTAAAGAACCATGCTCCTCTTCACATCTTTGAAGTCCCTCGTGATGTGACCACTCCTGACCCCTCAGCACGGTGTCTGTGCTGCTGCTGCCACGTTCTGGGAGAGTTGGAGTACTGAGTTTGTAGCATTTTTTGAAAGAATCTCAAAAAAAAACAACACTAATAGACAACCTCTCTAACATGCAAACTCAGATTATTGTCAAGTACTTTTTAAAAAAAATTTCTACTGCTCCTGATATAAATTGCTAGTCA